GGGCACCCAAAATCAAAATTACAGACTTTTGATCATTTAATTTGGAGGAAGAAAATTGTGAATACTTTTCATACTCCGACTCAACTATACCGATTTGGCTCTGATGACCGAGAAGGACATTTGTGTCATCCGCGTACGCCGAAATATACTTGTTCGGATGTCTGCGCCAGGCGCTGGGGCCCGAGAGTCGTAGCTTTTTATGCAAGTTAAATAATAATGGTTCGATTGCAATGCAATATAATGGACTTGCACTGGGGTCACCCTGCTTGAGACCGACTCCGACTGATATGGGGGCCGTGAGATCACTGCCCACCGACACCACCAAGGTGAAGTCGGTGTGCAGTAATTTCACATATTTAATAAAATTATCAGGATATCCGAAACTTTTTAAGACTCGGTAAAGATATTCCAGATTTACACGATCATATGCAGCCTCTTGATCGAGACTAAAAAGAAAGCCTTCAAGTTCACCACTCTGAAATGCATCGCGGATGAATGTCAAATTGTCAAATATTGACCTGCCTCTAACACCACACGTCTGCCACGGACCTATGATGGAGGGGAGGGCAATATTTAAACGAGACTTTACACAGCTTGAAATGATTTTATAATCAGTATTGATCAAAGAAATAGTGCGGTAATTTTTTAGGTTTTTGGGGTCACCAGCCTTATAAATTAAGGTGGCGACGGAACTCTTGCACGATTTTGGCAGAAACCCCTCGGCACACGAAAATGTAGCTAAATTGCTTAAAATTTTACTGAATTGACCTGAGAATTTCTTGTAAAATTCAAACGTTAAGCCGTCTAAACCCGGGGCTTTATTATTTGGGGATTTTTGAATAGCTTGTAAAATCTCGTTACAAGACAAGTCACTCTCATAAATTCCAGGATTTGGGATTTTTGGCATATGTTGTACCAAATGTTGTACCAAATGTTGTACCAATTGTTGTACCAAATGTTGTATCAATTGTTGCACCAAATGTTGTACCAATTGTTGTACCAAATGTTGTACCAAATGTTGTACCAGATGTTGTAACTCAAATTGTAACAATAATTATAGCCGTGCTGTGATTGGTGGAGCCAGCAAGCCGGTAGCCAATCAGAACGCAGGAATGTCACGGAAAATTTCACGGGACGGACTTTTCGAAATTATAATATAGATAAGACAAGAAATCGATAAAAGAGGCTGAATTTGGGTCGTGTGGTGGGTCTATCTCTGGAGATAAAATTGTGCCAATAATTTTGCATGGATTTGCAAATCTATGTATGCACTCTCAGAAATCTGGTATTAAATCACTACTGGCCGGAGAAAATATTTTCATGACTCTACCGGCGCGGAAGTAACGAGAATTACGTTCTTTAAGTAATGACAAATTTACCACTCAAAAACAAACTATTACCAGTCCGGTAGAAAGTTAATACCAAATCAATACCGGTATGGAGTATACATAGATTTGAGTCATCACTTTTTTAGCAGTGTATCTACATATATGCAAAATTTAGTGAATAATAATTGTGCCAATAATTTTGCATGGGTTTGCAAAACCCTACCAACATACATGCAAAATTCAATGTCAAATCTTGCATAAAAATCCCAGTGTAAATAAACTCTGGAACTGAAACTACCTCAATCGAATATGTGTGACTATGTGTTCCAAAAATAAAAAGCTTGCAGAATAACAAGCCATTTATTCGACGTAAACAAGTTTAACACCCAATCCATAATAATAACCTCATCATTATCATCGTCATTACGGGCAGATTTCATACACGCAGCTAGACCCAGCAATAACTTAAGCATTGCAGAAAATTCGCCATATGTACGTACATACGAGTGAAAAAGGAAACGATAACAAACAAAAAACTTGGGCAGGCGAGCAGGCAAAATGAAATGAAATCGCGAATCTTATGAGCCATTTATGTATCTGCAAAGTCCAGTTTGGATGCATGGATGGGAAGCCAATGTCAGTTTTCTGCCTTGCAAGTTGGTTCACTTTTGCGAAATAAGGACGAGTATAGAGCGAGAGAATTCGCAAAAAACCGTCCTTTTCACCTTCATCGGAAATATTACGCAGTTTCCAGTCCGCTTTTAATTCCTTTGTGGCCGACCAGACTTGTTTACATCCAGCAAGGAAAATATTGCTGATATGAATGAGGCTCCATGCATGGCATGTTTTATACATACATTTGCATATGTATGTAAATATGTCTCATTTATATAATTGCGCAACTATTTTAATTATCTTATTGCACTTCCTCTAACTGGGGTTATAAATATCGTGTTATTGGCTAAAGTCAAAGTGACCTTTGTGGTTTGTAGTGTTGGTAAATAAATAAGTTGCAGTTGCAAAATTTCTGCAGTCATTTGTTGTGTTGGATTTGTAGTGCAAACTTTCTGCACTCGTTTATTGTCATGAATGTGCAGTGCAAAATTCCTGCAGTCATTTATTTGGAATGTTGAATTTACAGTGCAAAATTTCTGCCCTCATGTTGAATTTGCAGTGCAAAATTTCTGAGTCCATTTATTGTCATGAATTTGCAGTGCAAAATTTCTGCATTAATTTATTTTAGTATGTTGAATTTGCAGCACAAAATTCCTGCACCCATTTATTGTCTTGAATTTGCAACTTGCAAGCCAAAATTTCTGCACACATTTATCATTAAAACGTCCCGAATATGCATTGCAATTTCTGCACTCGTCATGAATTTGCAGTGCAAAATTTCTGCACTCTTTTATTGTGAATGTTTGCATGTAAATTAGTTGCAGTGCAAAATTTCTGCACTTATTTATTGTGAATGTTTGCATGAAAATTAGTTTCAGTGCAAAATTTCTGCCTTATTAAATCGTCTCGAATATTGCACATATCTAATATACTCCCGGACTGGCGATTTATTTGCAACACGCTCATTGCACCTGCTTCCGTTTGCCATTTGTACTGTATGTAGCAGCATTTTGCACCACATAACAGTTTGCAATTTAATTTTATTACTGCAAAATACGATTATGATTAGAGGCCAGGGAGACCCGCAGTTTAAAGTTTCTTCGGTCGTGGAACACAGTGTATTTCGTAATTTATGGAAATGGATGGATGGCAAAGAACTGAACCCGATGAGGTGATGTCTGGCCAAGAAACTGCGTAGTTTCTCTCTCCTTCCTCCCGTAACATAACATGCTATAAAAGCTGCCGAATTTCCAGATTGAGACGAAAACAGTACCCGAATACGGGCAGGATACTACCCGGGTTGCAAAATCGAGTTTATGTATGTCCTCGATCCATTCCAGAGGGAGAGAGAGAAAGTTTGTTTTGATTGTGGAGGAAATTGTGCACTGTTAAAAATGTTGTAGGAGTTAGATACTGGTACTGATTTGGTAATTACTTTTTACCAGATTACCAGTAATTTTTACCAGATTGGTAATAGTTTAGTTTTGAAGGGTTATTTTATTATTATTACTAAATGATGTATACCAGCCTTCACTCTCTGCTCGGACTTCTCAACCTGCTGGTCCGATCAGAGGTACAGCAGTCCGGGCAGAGAGTGAACACTGATGTATACTGCCCGTTATTACCAGTGCTGGTAGAGGGAAATGTATACTTCGTTCTGGTAATGATTTGGTAATAACTTTCCCCCGGATTGGTAGTAGTTTTGGTAAATTTTTCATTACCACAACATTACTGAACGGTAATGCCTGTTATTACCAGTGCCGGTAGAGTCATATACATCTATGAATTCCGGGTAGTAATGATTTAATCCCAGTTTTTCTAAGAGTGTGCAAATCCAGAGAATCTTTCTATGTCCAAACAGAATTCTGTCTTTCCATGGATGAAATAGGATTATTGCTAATGAATCGTTCCAAAATGATGTTTCGGAATTACAGGAATTATTCAATTAGAAATTATTATTAAATTATTGTTCTTATTCAATTATCTGTAAATAGTTGTGAGTGTATTGTACTTGGAAAAAAGTTCGAGAAACTTGTCACGTAATGTAACATTTGTCTAAAAGTAATGATTAGTTTGGACTAAATTTAGCTGCTGTGGGGTCAGTGATAGGTCGACTAAAAATGTATGTGCATATGTACGAAACTGCGTTGCACACGGCAATGTTATGACCTGCGAGCGACTCAAACTCATTAAGCGAGTGGAAAAATGCAAATGCATACGTGCAAATTGCAAATTGCCAAAAGCAGGAAGTTTTAGTTGGGCTGTGATAACTAAAAAAAATAAGGCTGCACATACACAGATTTTTGCCTGGCTAATGATCTGTATTGATGCTTTTACATTATTGACGCTTGTTTATTTACATTTGGAAGCAACACCCAAAGTGTGAAAGATATTCTTCTTCCTCATGCAAAATATTAGCAAGTGCAAATTTAGCATGATACATATGCATTGATGGATGGCGTGATGCTGATAGGGTATAAAAAACATAAATATTGTTGTATTTATATACAGAGCACGGTATATGTATTAAGTAAGCGGATTAAAGCCGGTTTTAGGCAGTTGAGGTTGTTTACTTGCTCTGACATGATAACTTTACATCATATTTGGGAGGGGAGTTTGCAAAAATGGCATGATTTACATAATTTGCTAAATTTATGGATAATTATTTAAAGATTAAGTACTACATTTTTATATCGTATCATATTTCTGACCGGGAGGGAGGGAAGAGAGTTTGCAAAAATGGGGCGATTGGATTTCTGCAAAAATTTGCACAATGGAGGCTAAGATTGATGGATAATTATTTCGCGAAGAAGATCACGTAAAGTAATCTCATTACCGTCAAAATTCCAGACTTATTAAGAAGAATAGCGGATGATTTTGCGAGGAAAACAATGGGTGTTCGCTGTTCTTAACAAGAAAACAACGCAGACTCGGAGATACGTGTTTTGGGTGGCGTTTGCAGCGTCGTTTTGGCTGAATGTTCCTCTTCTCCGGAGCTATTTCTACCTTGTTTTTCTCACTTTCTGCCTGCTCTGCTTCTTCTCGGGTATAAAACCAGACTTGCAAAACAAACTGCAGCGCATTTTGCTACCGACAAGCGAACTGAGCACATCTTCACAAACCAAAGAAATCATAAAGCTTACAAGATTACAAGCCGAAAGGTGGGGAATAAATTTCTGAATTACTCTGAAAAAAGAAGAAAAGCGACTTAATAGAGAAAATGGTAAGTTCATGTGTTACTTTTTTAATTTCACTTCCGGTTTTTTTAGAAAATCCTGCTACGACTAATTTTCATGTCACAAATTATTGATTTAGTAAATTAGCTTTGCCAGAATCTTCTCAGGTTTTTAGGAAATCTTACTAAATAAAATAATTAATTTGTAAGCATCTAAGGTATATTTACAGAAATCGTCGGTGTATGTAGCGATCGGTGTGGCATCTTTTTTGTGTGTACGCATCTCATCTCATCCTTTATGTACTATAGCTTAGAGAGTGGTACGCATAATAATGTAACGCGTTTTGTATGTAAATATTTTTGTCCGTGACTAAAAATAGATACCTCATCTCTCTCTCCATGAGGTCTTCTTATACTTAACAGATCTGTGTGTACAAACACTGTTCGTACTTAATAACACCGACTAAATATTGTGTGTGCCTGGAATTAATCTGACTAGTTTTGTATGTTAGCACTTTTTTGTCTTTAAAATGATTACATTAAAAAATTTGGAAAAATTGTCCCGTCACGTATTAAAAAAACTTAGGAGGAGGAACTGGCAAAAGCGTTACAATTTGCACGGCAGGTAAAAATTTCTCATACAACAATTGCATATCATGCGAACTAACTATGCAAAAAATAAGGCAGGGATTTTTAACATTTTTAATTAGCACCACATTTATCTATGTATGTAGAAGGGAAATATTATAAAACAAAAAAGTAATAAATTCGTTTTTTTCGCCATATGTAAATAATTTGCAACGTATGCAAAATTTCAGGCCGAGAATACGCAACAGAAGCCGGCAATGGTGTCTAACATCGGGTCGACTCCGAGTAAGTAATTAATTAGTCTCTCGAGAATAAATCCAATTATGCAATTTTTATACCTGTTTAACATATTCAGTTTAATTATAATTAGTCTCTTGAGAAATGCAATTAAGAATTTTGTTCTGCATTTTCAGTGCAAATGACGAAAATTTTTGGGGGAGCGAATGACGCGAAGCGTATGAGTTTTGACGAGAGCATGCCACAATACAGTACTTCGCCGTTGTCCTCTTTCCTCTCCCACTCTCCGGGAGGCACCCAGTACCCGGGAGGTAAGGATTGATATCAAACCAGACCTACCCGACTTTTCGGGTGAAAGTACCCGAATTCGGGAGAGAGAAAGTGGCTTTCTTTCTACGCGTTACTTTTTGGCCTCATACTTTCTCCCTTTTCGGAGTCAAAACCTTTCTCCTTTAGTCTGTCCTTCAGTTTTGTTATTACGCAATTTCTTCTTTCTACGTATTTAGTTTCTCTTATGAACAGTGGCCGCGGAAGGTTAGGGACAATGTCCCCACGGTTGTTCGATGTCCGCATCATCTCCCCATCTTATATAAACCCCGCCCTCCCCCCATCCTACAATGTTAATGTCCCCACAGCTTCCGCGGCCACTGGTTTCTCTCATGGAAATGCTAATTTTTCGCATTTTTTTCAGGTTACAACCCTGCCCGACGAGATAGCTTGAAGAATATGTGGACTACGCAGGATTTTGGGACGATGGATTGAGGTGAAAAGTTATCCAGAAATAAATTCAATCAGGAACAACGGTGTGACTTTTTCGACTCGGTGGAAAATAAAAATGGAAATGAAGATGTCTTCGTGACTTGGTGTTTTTCTAGAATATTTTAAAAAATGGGGGGGATAAAAATAGTGCGTTTATATTTGTAGTTAGACCCACCACCACCCGTGTAGAAGTTAGTTAATTAGTTAGTTAATTGTATAGTTAGAAATTTAATTAGTGTGTAATTTAATTATATGAGTAGAATTTAGAAACTGGACTGAATTTATATACACATTTTTGACTTGGAGAAATCGATCGATGGTGTTTATTACTTACTTATTTGTTGTTTTATTTATTTCTTGATTAAAATAAAATATGTTTCCGTTTCAAGATTTTATTTTATTTTTTCGCTTTCTTTGTTTTGATGAATATGCAATTATTTGTATATTTTCGGGAATTTTGTATGCATTTTCATCATGTTAAAGAATATGCTAGAAAAATACTAGTAAAAAGTATCTATTTTATGGAAATATTTAGCAAAAATATTTTTAGCAAAAGTATTTAGCAAAAATATTTCGCAAAAATATTTTTAGCAACGACGAGAGGCAATCAATGGAGAGGACAGAAGGCAAGTAACAATCAGGCCAAAAATATTTTAGAAATTTTAAAAAAATTGTGAGTGATACCAATTAATTCACTTGCATAATAATAATTAATAAATTAACTAATTATAATTAAGTATTAATTACTTGACTTTAAAAAAATAGTTGATCCTTACAAAATAGAAGAAAAACCTGACTGATGATGATGACGATGTTTTAATAGCGTAAGAAGAAGAAGAAATGAATAAGAAGACTGTGTCGTCAAATGCCACGTGCGTGACCACGTGTGTATTAAAATGGCGTTATATGTTACGTAATTATCAGCATCTTGATCAATTGAACTTGCGATTATACAATTTTGGGTGAAAAAACCAACTTTGTTAATCTATCGGACTTTTGACAGAGAGCACTAAAAAAAGAGTGCAAAGTAGCAGGGTTAGGATTGACGTTGTTAATAATGGTAAATTTGTAGTAGTAGTAGTGAATTAATTAATTAATTAGTGTAAAAATAATTAATTGATTGATTAATTAAGCACAGGTAGCAAATTGTTAGTAAATACGTATGTAAATAGATATTTAAATGGTGGTGGTGGGAGTAGATCACAATTAATTGTACATTTGCATTGTTAATTGTACAATTAGTTAATTTAATTGCATGCAAATGTATTATCTCATTCCATGAAAAATACTCGATTTTCTGTCAAATTCTTTTGAGTAGTTTCTCATTTCCGGTTTTCTTCTAATGTAAAGTGGGTTTTATTTATGTCAAACAATTTTCATACGTTTTTCGTTCGTCTTCATTTTAATTGTGATTAGTTAATTGCATGTAAATAAATGTGCAAATTGTGTATCTCATTCCATGAAAAATACTGTATTTTCTTTTTTTATCTGGTAAACAAACGTATAAACTATTTCTTGTGTTTTTGTAAAGTTATTACATGGAACAATTTTCATACGTTTCCATTTTAATTGTGATTAGTTAATTTCATGTGAATGTGCGAATTGTGTATATATCTCATTCCATGAAAAATACTCGATTGATTTTCTCTGTCTGGCAAAAATAGTTTTAAATTATCTATGTCTCATTTCCTGTGTTCTTGTAAAGTTGGGAACAATTTTCATACTCATTTCACACGGAAAACAGAACTGTTTATTTAATTGTTGCTTTATTGTTGTGATTTTTGTTTGTTTGTCATTTCTTCATTTGTCCTGTAAACAATGGAGTGAAGAATAAAAAATGAAATGTGTGACCCTGTTTAAATTTTTAAGGTGCCTATCATTTCTCGGTAGTTGACACACATTCATTACTTTTCTGGGCAGGCATTCCATTCAGTTTGGTATTTTATTTGAGGTGACGATTTATTTATTGGACGATATGTTAAGCTACAACAACCATAAGCGGAGACATCGTCGTCATAATTATCATCATGGTCCGTAAATAAATATAAATAATCAGTAGTGGCGACGGAAGTTGGGGGGGGGGCATGTGGGGGACAATTAGCATTGTGTGTGTGTGGGGGGGGATAATTAACGAATTTCTGGGGGGATTTCTGGGGGACAAGGTTCCCCTGCTTCCGCCACCCATTTAAAATAATAGAAAATTAACTCTTGTGCGTTTCTAATTTTTTTGAATTACAGTTTGGGGTCGAGGAGGACCCCATCATCCCCCCATATTTTACGGGGACAAGGTCAAAGGTCCCTTCGGCGCCGGGATGGCTAGACCCTTATGTAACCATGGAGTTATCATGTCACGTCCACGTCCAGCTGATGACGGGAGGAGGTTGATAAAAATACGAGAAAGTTTGACTTGTTGGTGGAGAACGAGATCATCTTCTTCATCTTCATCATTATTATTGCCACAAGTTTTCCATCGGGAAACTTTCATTCCAAATTTTCCGTGTCCGTGGTGGTCAAGTGGTAGATATTATTTTGAGAAAGTCACACCCTTTGAAATTCAGTCATCATCATGTTACGAAGGCGTAATTCTAGCTGAGCTTTTCGTACTGTTTCTTTTCGGGGGGACGACGACGACGACGACAAATTACGGGTACGGGAGGAAGAAAATGAGCGATTCGTCCGGCAACAAAGAGATTCTTAAGAGTAAAATTGTACCAATGGGGTCGGGAAGTAGTGGAAGAATCGTCGCCAAAGAGGAGGAACCTTATCGACGGAATGAGGAGGGGGAGGAAGAGATTGAAAATGCACCTTATCAACGGAATGAAGAGGAGGAGGAGGAGGAAGAAGAGGTTGAAAATGTACCTTATCAACGGAATCCGGAGGAGGAAGCGATCCAAGACGTACCTTATCCACGGAATGTAGAAGAAATTGAAAACCTACCTTATCAACGGAACGAGGAGCAGGAAAATACTGAAACCGCACTCGTACCTTATCGACGGAATGACGAGGAGGAGGAGGAGGAGGAAGAAGAACGAATTGTTTGTCCCCACCAAGCCGCACTTCTTGCAAAAGTTGAAGAGGACCAGGAAGACGACGAACAAAACAATTTTCGAGGTTATCACCACAAAACTTGCGGCTGTGGGAATTGTCCCGTTCCTGACAATAGAATTGTCCCGTACGGTTATCCATCGTTAAGTTTGGCCCTGCTGGAAAAAAGTTCACGTGGAAGAAATTACGAGGAGGAAAGAATTTATCAACAAAATCAACTCCTTTCCTCCCAACTTTCACGATCAGCTGTTGTCCTAAAATATGGAGGGGAAGAAGAAGATTTTCACGACGGTCATCGCGAAGGATGCGAGGGTGAGAGTTGTCCCGTTCCGAATGAAGGAACTGTCGCAAGGCTGTACGATTTCTCACCGTCGACTTTGACCCTGGAGGAAAAGTGTATTCAACGGCAGAAGAAAAGTGGGGGAAAAGAGGGGGGCGACGAGATGGAGGATAAGTTGTCATCGTCACTAAATGACGAGGAAGAGGAGGATAAGTTGTCATCGTCACTAAATGACGAGGAAGAGGAGGAAAAGTCGTCATCGCAATCGTCCCGTGAGGAGGGTGACGACGAAGAAGAGGAAAATCAAAATCAGGAAGAAACACTTAAGGACCTGGAGGAGGAGGAAAAGTCGTCACTTAAGGAAGACGAAGAAGAGGAAAAGTCGTCACTTACGATGGACGAAGAGGAGGAAAAGTCGTCACTTACGATGGACGAAGAAGAGGAAAAGTCGTCACTTACGATGGACGAAGAGGAGGAAAAGTCGTCACTTACGATGGACGAAGAAGAGGAAAAGTCGTCACTTACGATGGACGAAGAGGAGGAAAAGTCGTCACTTCAGATGGACGAAGAGGAGGAAAAGTCGTCATTTACGATGGACGAAGAAGAGGAAAAGTCGTCATCGCAATCGTCCCGTGACGACGAAGAAGAAGAAAATCAAAATCAGGAAGAAAATTTGACCGAGGATCACACCGGATTGGAGGAAATTAGCAGTGACGAAATGGAGGAAATGTTTCAAGGTAAGGTAAAAGTGCAAAAAGAGAAGAAAGTCGGAAAAAGTGGGGATGACGATGGGGCGAAAACTGAAGTCCCACCCAAAAAGGAGGCAAAGAAGAAGAATACTTGTACCGCTCTGGTCGTGAAAAGGGGGGATCCACCAGTTCCATGGATCGTACATCCTAATCCTAACAATATTTATACTCGACCTTGGATTCGGTACCCGAGGTATGTAGCTAAACGTAAATTCAGATAAGGTTGTTGCGGGTTTGATACATTTCTTGCATGGAAAAGAAGCAACACTAGAAATGCGAGGTGCAAGAAATATGCGCCCTATGAATTATAGCGGCCGGGCGTAGTTTCTTGCGCCTTGCATTTTTTACAGGTCAAAATAACCGCAAGAATCACTTTCTTGCCGTTATTTCTTCCACAAGTGGTTACTTGCATTGTCTAAATGTGACCTTAAATTATGTAAAAAAAAATACCCCACGCCACTAAAATATTACTCTTTTCTCTAGACAAAATCTGGACCCGGACGGCAAAATTTTACGAGAAACCATCAAAATGTGTGAAGAACTCCGCAAAAAGTACAACGAACTCGACAAACTTTGGACCGGAAAGAGTAAACGGAAGCGGAAAACAGCCTTCCCCACGAACACGATAGGAATTCGGGAACTGATCCGAAACGACCGATCAAAAAACCGAGGTACGCATCTCCCCTGCTCCACGATGCATAAAATCGTGTCATTTGCTAAACTAAAGAGGAAAGTGAACTTTGCGAAATACGTAGTTTCTTCTTCCTCCTCCTCATCCATGCCCACGACGCCGATGCGGACGAGAAAAAGTAGTGGGGGTAGTGGGGGTACTTCTGGGGGACGCTCGCATTCTCTGACGTGGCCGAGATTTGTGATCAAAAGTAAGGCTAAAGAAGAGGGGGGTAAGAAGACGGTGGAAAAAATGGGGCCTGATTTGAACAATAACGACAACGTGGCGACGGAAGACGTCGATAACATTACTGAAGACGACGACAACGTGTCGGAAGACGTCCCCAACACGATGGAAGACTACGCCAACGATTTTTTAGACTGTCGGGATGGAGAAGAAGCAATAAAAAGTACGCCAATCACGACCACGTGGTCGCATTCTTCTCGTCAAGTATTGTCCACCATCCTCGGCGACATGTCACTCTCCTCCTCAGAATCTCGTCAAGATAATGTCGAAATCCCTCCGAAAACAAGGGCCCGCTCGTCGTCCCGATCCTCCCGTGAGGTAAAAATAGTGACCACCTCATCAGCTAAAATTCGCTCGAAAACGGCCTCCTCTTCCACCGGACGAAGCAGCCATCATCACCTCGGCGTCCCGACGAAACGTTCCAGTCTGGCCCATCATCCGTACCAGTTCCGCCAACCTCACCAGCACCACCACCACCAACCCATGTCCAGTTATGCCTATCTCTTATCAAAAAGTCAGCCCTTATCGATCCCACCGCCGCCCGGGTTTCCGCCAAGACCACCGCAGCAGCAGCAGCAGCAACAACACAGTTTTAATTTTGGGGTAATGCCGGCCCCACAAGCACAACGACACCAGCAGAATTTGCCCACGCCGCAACCGGAAGTAGAGAAACAACCGTACAATCATATCCCAATGACGCAGCAGGACATGGCGAGAAAGGCAGACCTCATGTTCAGTCAAGTTATGGGTGTCCACTACTCTCACGGCCACTACTCGCAGTGGTCACCAAACTCCTCCTTTGTCGGGGACAATTGTTCTTCCTCGTCTTCTTCTTCCGGGGGCGGGTATCAGAATCTTAACGCCTTGCCAAATATGTCGAGCCCTCAGAATAATCCGTACGTTCGGTATCAACAACAGCACAACCAATATCACGGTCAAAACTACAGTTTGTTGCAGATAGCACAACAATCACAACAAAAATTGGGGTTGTCCCCCGCACCACCACCACAACAACAGCAGCAACAACAATTTATGCCCATGATGTTTTCGCCACAGACCGGAAGTGGTGGACCTCAGAACATGAACAACAATCAACCTCCACCGCCTCGACCGCTGGGTTGGTTTTGCCCAGCGCAACAGCAGCCCCAGCCTCAGCAAATTCAGATTCCTCCGCCCCAACAGAAGAAATGTGTCTTCCTTCAACGTCCACAACACGGTCCAATGACCAATATTTACAATCCCGCCGGCGGGATTCCTCCTGGTGGTCAGACGCTTGGTGGAATGATGATCCCGAGTCGAATCCATTACTGGCAGGATGTCCAAGACCACAACTCGCGTCAACAGCAGCATCAACATGCCGTCCGAAATGCGAGAGTTTGTTATTTGAATACGGTGCCACAAGGTCAAGGTCAACAACAACAACAAGGTCAATGCCAAGGTCAACAAGTCCCATTTATAACTCAGGGGAACAACGTGATGCTCCTAAGTCCACCACGGCACGGTGTGAAAACTCCGCATTTTCATCAGCAATCCAGCCCCCAAAGACATCACAAAACGTCGTTGCGAAGTGTGTCCAGCACCGGAAGCATTTTGGACCCGCGTCCCGCAAGACAGCACAAGTCGCCAAAATCGTTTACTCTTTGGAGTGATTCTACGTCTACTTCTTCTGCGTCTTCGTCGGATCCGCCCACGCCAACGGGGCAACCGAGGTCACCGGACGTGGGGGAAGGTCAAAGTCAAGGTCAAAGTCAAGATCTTTCAGAGGATGGGGACGATGTTGGATTGGAGCTTCTTCTTCCTTGACAGTTTTTTCTCCGCTATTTTTTCGTCGCACGTGTCAAAATTTCGTCGCACGTGTAAAAATATTAAGTTACAGAATCTAAATATCTATTATGTAAAAAAATATGTATGACTGCGAAAATTTTTTGAATTCTGAGATTCGACAGGGCTCCAAAAAGTTTGTGAAATTTGTAAACAAAAAAATTCTTGTGGCTCGATCAGTGTCAGTCAGTCAAAAATATTCGTTTTAAAAAAAAATTTGAGCAGAAGAGAAAATATGTATTATATTTTTATTTTACGGAATTTGTACTAAATATGGTGCAAGTAATTACTCGAATATAATGTAAATTCAATTCATGCGTGTATGTAAATGTGTACACGGGTAAAGACAAATGTATAATTATTATGAATGATTAATTACTTAATTAATTAACGCCCCGATTAAATACAGAGGGAAATTGTTATTTTGTAAATTATTTTGTGGAAATTTTAGTTTGAAATTTTATTTTATTTGCATGGGAGATTTTATTGAGATTTTATGAGATTTTATTTGCATGGGAAAAAAATGGGGGAATTTATTTTTATTTATGTGTATAAATAGTTCGAGATATATTTTAGTCTGTATTTCATAAATATTGAATATTTTTGTGAATTTTTAACGGAAATTTTATAATAATTCCCGAAATTATTTGTGTCACACGAATGCGAAAAAAATGGATGGATTTATTTTTATTTATGTATTTAAATGCGTAATTCGAGATATATTTTTAGTCGGTATTTCATAAATTTTGAATATTTTTGTGAATTTTTAACGGAAATTTTATAATAATTCCCGAAATTATTTGTCACTCACGGCATGCGAAAAAAATGGGTGGATTTATTTTTATTTATTTAAATGCACAGTTCGAGATGTGTTTTTAGCCTGTATTTTATAAATATTGAATATTTTTGCGAATCTAATTAACGAAAATTTTACCATAATTTTCGAGTCTTGCAGCAGCATGAAATTTAATTTAATTTAAATGTTGCATAATAAAAAAAAATAGTACAGTGAAGAGACTTCATTTGGCCCGACTCATATTTTGCCTATTTACTAATATACTCATAAATTGCTACTGAATCTTTCAATCTTCTATTTATTTCGATACCTCGTTACAAATATTTTATTAAGTGGCGTCGTTATTGTGCATAAATTTTTATTTGTGCAAAGTTTAATATTTTGACCAATTTTACAAACTATTTAGTATGGGACAAAATTTCTAGAAATTTATTTTAATTATGTAAATCTGAGACCGTGTCGAATATTATTGTGGTACTGAAATCGGTTCAGTAGTTCAGACAGACAGACGGACGAACAAACATGACCATTTTATAAGCCATCAACCTACATTATGTCGAACATGCATTTGTTAACACTGAAACCCGTTCCGACGTACAGAAAGACGGACGAACAGACAGACATAACGGTTTTATAAGCCCTAGCTCACCCTTAAAATTGCCTAATGTCGAATCCCGCATATTTTTAGCACTAAAATCCGTTCCGACAGACGGACAAACATGACGATTCCATCAGCCTTAAAAACCCAAACATTACTATTCCACCCTCCCAAACAAAAATTGGAAACTTGAAACGTCACCCAATGCTCAAATCCGTTTTAAACTAGCTTTCTCCAATTTGACTCCTCCTAGATTCTCCAAGGAATTGAATTCTACTCTACGATTGATGTGCGTACGTGACTCATTTTTACGAACCCAAAAAAGAAACAAACCCACGCAAAGAATTGATTACACTCAATTTTTCTTCCACTTCTTCTTATCAGTGGCCGCGGAAGCTGGGGGGACGAGGGACCACGGTTATTCGGCGTCCCCTTCATCTGGCCGTGTTATATAACCCCCTCCCTCCCCCATCCTGCAATGTTAATGTCCCCACATGTCACCACGGCGTCAGCGGCTTCTTTTTGTCCACATACATGAGACTGGATTTTTTAAACAGTGGCCGCGGAAGTGTGGGGACAGGGGGATAATGTCCCCACCGTTATTCGATGTCCGCATCATTTTTCCTCATTTTATACAAACCCCTCCCTCCCCCCATCCTACAATGTTAATGTCCCCAGATGTCCCCACAGCTTCCGCGGCCACTGCTTCTTCTTATCCTTAGTTTCACCCTGATTTGAAATGGATAAGCTGCACCTCACCTCACCTGCGATTCGAAAAAAGTTACAAAAAATCCAATCCGTTTCGCTCGACCAGGATTGAAAAGGGTTTCAATTTGTCGTCAGTCATCCCATCTGCATCTCTCCCACTTTCTCCGCTTTCTCTTTGCATAATATTTATTATTTCAATCCCACACGGAGATCAGCGATATAAATCAGGTGAACTTATAGGGTGCAGGGGTGGGCAAAATATTTTGGAAAAATGTACAGTATTTTGAGCTCCGATCTTTCCATTTCCGGGGCTGTTACATTATATCCACAAAAAGACGAAAATCTACGCAGAGAAGGCAACAGTCAGTCGAAAATACACATTTTTTTTGAAGAAACTGACTTTTATCACAGTAAAAATACGTTCTTTTAGATTTTTTACAACGTTTTTTGGTTATCTTTAAAGTGTTGTATTTATTTAAATGACTGGTTTGATACTGCATACGAACCTAACACACTTTTAACAAATTACCATTTTCATCATAATTTTTTTTTGGTGTCAAAGTCTTACAATTTTTGAAAACTTGTAAACATGCTAGCTTCTCAATTCGAAAGTCAAAATTGGATATTTTAAGAAAATACTGTGACGTGACCCATTTTGGCCATTTTGACAGCGATAAAAAATCGGTTTTTTTAAGTCGAAAAATATCTGCCATCTATTACTTATTTCAATAAATTCGTTTGACACTAAAGAAAACCAGAAGAGGATTATTGCTACATCTAACACTACACTTTAAACCATTAAAATTTACCCTTATTAATTTAACTTATTTCTGGTGACAAAATCTTACAATTTTAGAAAACCTTAAATTTTTCGAAACTACATGTTTCATGAGGGAATTAATTCTTTATGCTGCCTTCAAAATAAGTACTACTTTATTTTATTAAAAAAGTTGTGTAAACAAATTATTTTGACCGCGACAAAAGTTAATTTCTTCACAAAAACCTGCATTTTCATCTGATTGCTACCTTCTCCACGTAGATTTTCCTATTTTTGTGGGCGTAACACCCCCGGAAATCCAAACCCTGTGAAGAACACCGCTCAAAATACTGTAAATCCAATATTTTGCCCACCTCTGCGCCAAGAGGGAGTAGATTTTCATACAAAATCGTCATTCGATTACACCCAAGAGGTGTACAAAAAAAGGTGGTGGTGACGACAAAATCCGTATAAAAACCAAGACTTTCTCCCTAAAGAGAACAACTTTCTCCCAAGAAACAAACTCAGTCGTCCCATCTCTTATCATCAAGTTTCCGATAAGATGGGCTCTCAAATTGTCACCTTAATCGCCCTGATAACCCTCCTTTTTGGGGGAATCGTCCACTCCTCCGTGCTTCCACCTTCTTCCTACGCGTCCGGAGAGGACTTTGCCCCACGTGACCTCGGGGGACACCTCGGGGGTCATCCGAGACGGTCCATCTACACGGATTCGTCCGCATTCATCCCCTACATTCATCCCCGGTTCGTGCTGGAGCAAGACTTTCCTGGAGAAGAGGTCCTCCTCCCCCCGCAGGAGAAACGTGCCACGAAGGGGATGCGTAAGTGGAGGAGGGGAAGATTTTCTTCAAATTCTGATAATTCTGATTCTGCTGACATGATGACGACCATTTTGAAAAAATTTGCAGTCGTGGACGTCGTCGACTTTGTGACGAAGGGGTCAGAAACGAGGAATCAGAGGATGGCGGGGGGACAAGGGATGCGGAGTAGTGGGAGGAGGAGGAGATAAGCGAGTTATCAAGGGAGGATAAGAGGGATAGAAGAGATTGGATATTTTTAATGGAAAACACTTGTAAATCAGTAACTGTAGTTAGTTAGTTAATTAGTTAGTTAATTAATTAATTAGATAATTAAATTGAGCCTAGAAAATAAAAAAAATGCAACGGTAAATCAAGTTCCTACACATATTCCGATACGTACATATCAATAAATGATGATTGATAAGTCCTTTCCTCATCGTGATGGTCGTCATTTCTGGCAGATTGAAAAAAAATACTGAAATAAAAAAATGTAATGTTTTTGTCTTTACTAAAAATTGTAGATAACTATTAAGAAAAGTGATTTTATGATGGAAGGAATAAAATTAATATGCAAATAAAATAAAAATGACGTGAATAAAAAAGAAAGTTGTAATAAGATAAAATGAGTTTGAGAGAAAGTATTGGTTGATTTTATGAGGAAGAAGTTGATACATATTTTGAGGAATTATGAGAAATTGAGCTTTTGAGAAATTGAGCTTTTGAGAAATTGAGATTTTGAGAAGTTGAGATTTTGAGAAATTGAGAAGTTGAGAAATTGAGATTTTGTTAAATTGAGATTTTGAGAAATTGAGAAGTTGAGAAATTGAGATTTTGTTAAATTGAGATTTTGTTAAATTGAGATTTTGAGAAAGTTAGATTTTGAGAAATTGAGATTTTGAAAAATTCAAATTTTGAGAAATTGAGATTTTGAGAATTTTGAGATTTTGAGAATTTTGAGATTTTGAGAATTTTGAGATTTTGAGAATTTTGAGATTTTGAGAAATTGTGAGATTTTGAGAAACTGAGATTTTGAGAAAGTGAGATTTTGAGAAAGTGAGATTTTTCCATTTCTGTGAAGTATCGACTCCAAAGAGCTGAAGTAAATGGAAAATAATTAATTCAATATGCGAAACATGTGACGTAGAAAGAAACAAGTTTGAATTTTAGTAAACAAACAAATTGCTTAAATCCCGTTAAATTAATTCTAAATTAACATTTCTAATCGAAGCGAACTTAAACTTTTCTAATCGAAAAATAAATTCGTCTTTTTAAAAGCTCAAAGATCATCCATTTCCGATCAGAGCTATAGTGTTTGAGATGTGAGGAGGATAAATTCCGATAAGTTCTTGATTTGTTTATTCAACTTTTTAATTAATTTGATAAGAACTTAACACTTAATTACACGGAGGTGTAGTGGTTTACGAAGAAAGGTTGTTGACTTTATTATTTACCTAAGATATCATAAGATAAGAACTTGTTTTGTTGCAAATTTAAAGTGTATTCCGAAGAACTTCTAACTTCTGAGGAAGGTTATCTATCATCAATGATAACTTATCATCGCAATGTCAAACAACAAAGAAAACGTGAACGTGACCTTGACCTTGACCTCTAAAAACAGTTGGAAACGAATCCCTCTTCCCGAACTTGACGACCAAGAACATTTCACGGGCTACGTGACGGAGACCTTGGCACCCAATTCGGTCATCGGGATGCTCGACATGGACGCGTTTGAGGTTCAAATCTACTTGAAAAGTAAGCTGGGTGCGGAAAATTGGAGAGAAATATATTTGACGACGCCCTGCCTTCTCGCCGATCCGGTGACAGATAGGTTAGTAAACTATTTACATGATAAGTCACTTATCGTCATGAATGGTGGCCGAGGAAGCATTGGGACATTGCAGGGAGGGGTTTATATAAGATGGACAGATGATGGGGACATCGAATATTGGTGGTGAGGACATTGTTTTGTCCCCACGCTTCCGCGGGCACTCTGGAAGAAAATATGAAAACTAATGTCGGAAACTTATTTTCAGAATTATTTCAGTCAACCATCTCGCAAAACTGAAGGGGATTTCAAGAGACGACGTGATTGGAACTGGGTTAAAAAAGTGTCCGGAAATACGCGTGATTAGAAAAGATGTGCGTTTTAGCAAGCCTGAAAATTGGAATTTGCGACATTCTTCGTGGTGCTTAATTAATTAAATATATAATTATGAATTACGACTTAAATAGATCAGTAATTAATTAATTAGTAAATATTTCCTGTTTTTTAGGACCGTATTGGACACCATATTAAAATACCGGAAGGAAACAGGAAAACACTTCATCGTCGAATACGCCTCAAATGACGAATATTATTTCGACCTTACCCTCGAAATTGATCGCCTCGTCGACACGGTCACAGTCGAAAACATTGAAAAATTCCTAACTGAACGTGTCCTTCGTATGAAGAAGACATTTGTGGAACTGAGAAACGAAACTTTAGATGATTGGTCAAGTATCCTTAAAATTCTTCAGAAAGAGATCTTCTTATCCAATATTATTGATAAGCCTTTGACCCTGCTCCGACTTATCTTGGGCTGCACCATTCTCCACGAAATAAAAGAATTCATCTTCACCGAAACGAACTTTGAAGCATCCGGAGGAATCTCGTGTAACAAGCTGCTAACAAAATTAGCCTGTCCTCTTCACAAACCGGGAGGAATTACCATTCTGCCTGGGGAAGGATTTATCAAAATTTCTGGAAACATTCCGATCGAGAAGTTGCCATCGTTGGGGGGCGATCGTGGCAAAAAACTGAGCGATGCGGTTGGAGAAGTCATGCTGACGATTCGGGACCTTGCGACGCTCCCACTTTCAAAAATAATGGAGGGGACTGATTTTCCTTTGGGGGAGGTTATCATGCTACGAAAGTTGGCTCGGGGACGATCGGATGACGCCGTGGTGGAAAAATTGATGAAATTGTCGGCCACCGTGGGACGCGCAAATTTGAAGGGGTTACGATTCTACAGGACAAAAATGATTCGAGAAGTGCTTTCCACACTGACGGAAGAATTGATTGAGAGGCTTAACGTAGGATGACTCATCACCAAAATCTGCAGATTTTTAATCATTTCTCCGCTCTGGGAATTTATTTTAAAATTCTGGACGACCAATTGGCCGTGATTGAGTTGATTAATGGAATGGCGCTGAGTTTTTTAGCGAGTTTCGACGAGTTCCAATTTTTCCGGAGGTTTCTTAAACTTGAGATCTCCTCCTTCAAAAAGTGTCAAAATCTGGAGTGTACATTTTTTTAACTTGGGAACGACGTGCCCTACGAATTTGTTGATCAGAATTTGAGAATACATTCCCAGAGGAGAGAAATGATAAAATTCTGGGCGACGAATTTGTAGAGCATGGAGTTGCCAATTTTTTAAAAATATACACTCTAGATTTTGACACTTTTTGGCGGAGGAGATCTCAAGTTTAAGAAGCCTTCAGAAAAATTGGAACTCGTCAAAACTGGCTTAAAAAACTCATCGCCATTCAATTAATCAACTCAATCACGGCCAATTTGTCGTCCAGAATTTTAAAATAAATTCCCAGAGGCAAGAAATGATTAAATATTGACGATTTTGGCGATGAGTCATCAAGTCTTGGCTTAAGGAAGAAGAGGAGCGACATAAAAGGATTCCGGACCACGTGAAAGTCGGTCTCAGCTATATTTTCCTCCCCAGAAAGGAAGAAGATCGAGGAAAAGCTCCACTTTCTCAGAGGTTCGCGTACACAATCGATACGGAGAAAGTTTCCGAGTGGACCAAGAAGAACGAGAAAGAATTAGTAGACAAGATTCTAACCGAATTTTTTGCCTCGGTCAAAGGTCAGGGGGAAGGGATCATCGTAAAGATAAGCTATTCTGTGAGGGCATTTCGTAAACTGGTGTAAATTATGGTAAATTTATGTGCAATCTAGTCATGCTAGATTTTGGAGGAATTTTATATTTTGCACTCTTGTTTTCTGTTAAGCGTTTCGTTTTAGTATGAATTTACCTAAATTTTAAGCACTTACCAAAATTATTGATTAATTAACAACCAGTATGAATTTATAAAATATGAAGTGCAAAGTTTCTTAATTTACACGACTGATTTTTGAAATGGTAATACTTTCGTTCGTTTATTTAGTACTCATTTTTGACTGATTTTTTTAAATGAACTTTTTATTCAGTAGTTAATTACTCATTTTTTAAGTAAATAGTACAAACTATTTCCGAAATTTGGCGTAGTCACAAACACGCCGCTATCGCTTTTATGAAAGACTGAAAATGAATTTATATATAATACATTTTTATTTTATTTTTTGTGGTTTTCAAACAATAATTAACTTATTAAACAAAAGAATTTAAATTAAAAATTGACAAATTCACAGTAATTTGTTAACAATAAAATTAGGTTCATGATAACTAATTTTGTGAAATACATAAATTTAAATTTAGACAGAAAACTTTAGATATTTTTGAAATTGTTTTTATGGAAACTTATCACGTCGTTTGCATTATTTATCGATATATAATTAATTATGGATCAAAGTAGATTTCCAGTGTGTTAAATTCCCAAAATGCTAACTGGTTCATAAAAAAAGTTGTCGCGAATTAAAAATCATCATGGCGCTGCAACTATTACCACGACGGTCATGGTTTCCCCTCCTCGTCGTCATCCTTGGCGTCCTCGCGGTGGGCTCGGCCTCGGAGGATGAGCACGACAAGAAGACGCCCATGAAGATCAAGCAGACGATCAAACTCTTCAATGACGATGAACTGGATCGGCTGGAATTTCAGGAATTTTGTGAACTCGGCTTACTCGAACGGCAAGTTGGAAAAGCGTTGCATGATGACGTCATGGGTGAGTGAGGACAGTTGAAAATTGAAATTAAATCATAATAGTGTTTCGGGCGCAAGAAATAACGGGGAGAAAGTGGTTTCTTGCAGATAAATGATTTGACCTGGGAGAAATGCAAGGCGCTAGAAACGACGCTCCGCCGCTGTAAATACTTCATACGGCGCGTGGCTGGATAGCGCATATTTCTGGCCCTTTCTCCCAGTTTCTTCCACCTCGCATTTCTTGCGCCTCGAATTTCTTGCGCATTGCATTTCTTGCAGTTTCTTGCATCTTCCACTTTTTTGCACTTTCTTGCAGTTTTTTGCACCCCGAATTTCTTGCGTGGCTTGCTTTCAGTGCAAAAAATGTGCTTAGCAAACCCACGAAAAAACAAAAAAGCTGCGTACAAGTAACCATTTTCAAGAAATAACGGCAAAAAAATGGTTTCCTGTAACTATTTTGACCTGTAAGAAATGCAAGGCGCAGGAAACTACTCCCCGCTGCTATACTTCATACGGTGCCTGGCCTGGCTACATGGCGCTTATTTTTTGCGTTTCTTCCTTTGCAGTGCTAAAAAAATGTAGCAAAACCCCCAAGAAATAAAACTGTAATTGTATTTTTTTACAGTTTCCGAGTGCTCGGTCACCGCCGCGGGAGAATTTGATATCGACATCGATGGAAAGATGTTATTCACTTTGATCGCGATAATCACGTATGGCGCCATCATTCGCGCCGTGATTCAGCATTTCGATCTCCAAGTCCCCTACACGGTGGTCCTCATGTTGTCCGGACTGGTGGTGGGGTCATTTTCGAAGAAATATTGTCCTGAAATGAACGAATACACGGCGATTGCGAGGGTCAGTGCGAGCCTGATTTTGTACACGTTTCTGCCCCTGCTAATTTTCGAGAGTGCGTTTTCCATCCCGGTCCACACGTTTCAACGGAGTTCGATCCAGGTACGTGCTTTGGTGATCAAGATTGAGTTCGATTTGCGCTTACAGGGGGAGAAAATCCCGGAAAATTCCCACAAAAAACCGAGAAATCCTCGAAAATTCTCGGAAACAAACATGTCCCAAAATTTCTTACAAATGCTCGAAAATTCTCGTGAACTTTTAATTTTTTAAATATTTTGGCAGAGTGTCGACATAACGTCTTTTACCGGTTTTCGCCCCCTGCTTTTGCGGCAAATGCGTTTACTACAAATCGAACCCACGTGATCATGTAGCAATTAATGGAGGTCTCCGAGCGCATTTTGAGCAAATTATTGCGGTGCATCGAAGTCAACCGGATGGATTTGATTTGAATTTCGGCCCGCCTCCAATGTTAATCAAATGGGCACGTGATTTTGGCGCGTAGAAATTCTGTCCGGTTGACTTCGATCCACCGCAATAGTGCCAATCGCGATCTCCCAATGGGCACGTTTGGCGCAGATATCTGCATCCGAAGAGGAGAAAACGAATATTGCGTAAAATTCGTCGACTTTACTTTACTTTTCTCCTTTTCAGATGCAAATATCTGTGCTAAACGTGCCCATTGGGAGATCGCGTCTTTCGCAAATTTCATACTAATTAAATTTCTGATCGATTAACACTAATTTGTTCAAAATCGGAGAGCGTACGCTGGGAGACCTACCTTGTAACTAATTTGCATGTTAATTATGCAGTAATTCCAATTTTTTTTTTATTTAGATCATCATCGTCGCCTTTCCCGGCATGGTTTTGTGCACTTTCATCACATCGTTCGTATGTCGCCACTACTTCACAACTTATAAATGGGATTTTATGCAGGCCAATTTATTTGGTAGCATTATTAGCGCGACTGGTAATTAGATAATTAAACAAATTTGTAATTATGGAATGAAAAGTGTTTTTCTGAAGTTTATTTTATTGTATGCCAGATCCTGTCGCTGTTGTTGCTATTCTGCGTGAACTAGGTTTGCAAATTGGGTCACTTTTTGGGAAAATTGTTCATAAATAATAATTATTTTCTATTTTATTTTAGGCGTGTCGGAAGTCTTGAGTGTGATGATTGAAGGAGAATCATTACTGGTAAAAATTGCGAATTTAAATTTTTGCATGTGCAAAATTGCATGTTGTGCAGAAATCTAACATATTTTATTTTTGTTTTAAGAATGACGGCGTTGCAATTCTGTTGTACGAGATTTTCGAGGAAATTTTGGAGGAAGCAGCTCTGGGAAAAACGCCAGGAACATTGCCGGCAGTTTTTGGGCATTCAGTCCTGAAATTTGTACAGATTGCGATCGGTGGCCCCGCATTTGGCTGGGCGATGGGGAAAATTACCATCTTTTTCTTGAGCTATGTCTTTAATGATGCTCCCGTCGAGATATCAGTGACCATTGTGACGGCTTACATTACTTATTGGCTTAGCGAGGATGTGCTCGGTACGTAGCTTTTAAAAAAAGTTGATGAAAAATCGGTATAATTTTCAAAGTAACGTAGGACTCATCGCCAAAATTAGCCCATTTTTATTCATTTCCCGGCTCGGAGAATTTATTATAAAATTCTGGGCGACAAATTTGTAGAGCAGGGACTTGTCAATTAAAAAAATATACACTCCAGATTTTGACACTTTTTGAAGGAGGAGATCTCAGGGTTAAGAAACCTTCAGAAAAATTGTAACTGGTCGAAACTCGCTTAAAAAACTCAGCGCCATTCCATTAATCAGCTCACTGACTACAAATTTGTCGTCCAGAATTTTAAAATAAGTTCTCAGACCGGAGAAATAATTAAAATGTGCTGATTTTGACGATTTTGTTGAAAAGTTATGGACCACGTTGAAAAACTTGTATTTCTAGGCGTTTCCGGCGTCATGGCGGTGGTCTTGCTGGGCCTGACGATGCGGGCGGAGCGAACCGTGATAAGCCCCGACTCAGAAGAAGCTGTCCATCACTTTTGGTCCATCATGGGATATTTGGCGAACACCGTGCTGTTCATGCTCGTCGGAATCGTGATTGCGGAAACAGCCGTGAACGACATTGATCAGAACGACTTTTGGAATTTGATCCTTCTCTACATCGCGATTCATGTGTCGAGGTGACTAGATTTTAGAGTTGAATATTTATTTATGCTAATTATTTTGGAGATATTTTAAAGTTTTTTGGCAATATTTTTAGATTTGTGATGCTCCTCGTTTTTTATCCAATACTTGCTTGGATCGGGTATGGAATGACGTGGCAAAATACGATCGTGATGATGTGGTAAGGGGAAAGAAATGATTAAACAGTGTTTCGGGCCAGTGGCCGCGGCAGCTGTGGGGACATTAATATTGTAGGATGGGAGAGGGAGGGGTTTATATAACATGGAGAGATGATGGGAACATCGAATAACTGTGGGAACATTGTCCCTCTTTCCACTGTTTCGGGCACAAGAAACCACTTGAAAGAAAGTAGTTTCATGCAGGTTTCATTTTGACCTGTGAGAAATGCGAGGTGCAAGAAACTACGCCCAGACGACGTAATTCATGAGGTGCGTGGCTTGATAACGCATATTTCTGGCACTTTCGTGCAGTTTCTTGCACCTCGCATTTCTTCCCTGGCTTGGTTCCCAGTACAAAAAAGGAAGCAAATCCGCTAGAAACGAAATATTGTAATACCGCTGAGTTTTGGGTGGAAATGAATACTAATTTCATGCAAATTCGTTACAGGGGTGGACTACGGGGCGCTGTTGGAGTCTGTTTGGCGTTGGATGTTTATCGAAATGAACATTTCTGCGAAAATAAGCTGATGGGTTCAAAGGTGTGTAAAAAATATGTGCAAAAAATATGTGCAAAAAATATGTGTGCAGAACAAACAATTAATCAATCCATGCAGTTGAGTAATGTAGATTCTCTTCACATTTTATATACATTTTACATACATATGTACTTAGATGCTATTTGCATAAAATTAGTTGTGCAAAAAATACGTGCAAAAACTTATCCAGTTTACCCTGATAATAACACCGATTCTCTTTACCTCTTATATAGATGCTATTTCAAACTGCTGGAATCGTGTTCTTGACCCTGGTCGTTAACGGTACGACGACGCGACCCCTGCTGACAGCCCTGCGACTCACGGAGGTCAGCGTGGGCAGGAAAGAAGACATGAACAATGCCATCAAAAGAATTGTCAAGCTGAAAAACCAGGCCATTCGAATGTTTCAACTTTCTCCAAACATGTTCGATGCCGATTGGACGATGGTGAATGGATTTTGTACGGTGAAAAATCCCTACAAAGCGACGGTACGTAGCGAGTAATGGGGAAAATACTTCAAATTTTGAGAATATTTTGTCAAAAATCCGGTATTTTGAGCTCGGTTCTGTCAGGATTTAGATTTCCGGGGGTGTTAAACCCACAAAAAGACGAAAATCTGCATGGAGAATACTCAAAATACTTCAAATTTTGAAAATATTTTGTTAAATGTATAGTATTTTGAGCTCCGTTCGTCCCAAGGTTTAGATTTCCGAGGGTGTCACACCCAAAAAAAAAAGAGGAAAATCTAAGTGGAAAATATTCTGCCTTTAAATTCGTAAAAATCTGTTTTCAACTATTCATTTTATTTATTTCGATAATTTCGTTTGTTATTCGATGCACGGCTGGCGACGAGAGAATCTATCATATTTTAAACAATTTTAATTCATCAGAATTTTATTTGTCGGTGTCAAACTTTGCTATTTTTTTAAACCTTGTTCCTTCCTCCATTGTCAACACGATTAGCGTGGTTTCAAAACCGGAAAGAATTACAATACTTTTTGTTCAGAAAAATTTATGCAGATTAGATTTTTTTAGTCTTTTTGAAATAACCAATATGAAAATTGACCTGGTAAGAAAATGAAAAAGACAACTTTTTTCTGTGAAATAACTGGATTTCCGGGGCTGTTACACCCACAAAAAAGACGAGAATCCACGTGGAAAATATAACAGTGGTAGGAAAATACAGGGTTTCCTGAAGAAATGAATTTTTAAGTGCATAGTTTTCGCGATTTTAAAAAAAATTATGTATTTTTGACAGGGGAAAAGTATTTTCGTACGACTGTTATTTTTCTACGTAGATTCTCGTATTTTTGTGGGTGTAGCAGCGCCGGAAATCCAGGCGGAGTTATTTCGCAGAAAAGTGGTATTTTTCTGACAGGTCGAAAGAAACTGAAGCAAAATCTAATCAGAATATCGGTTTCTGTACAAAAAATAATAATTCTTTTCGGTTTTGAAATCTCGCTAATCGTGGTGACAATGAAGGAAGGAAGGAACAAGTTCTCATAAATTGTAAAGTTTGACACCGAGAAATAAAATTCTGGTGCATTATAATTGTTTAAAATGTGATAGATTCCTGGAAATTCAAGTGCTGTTTTAAAAACACATTTTTGATACAAATTGATCACTTCATTTGCAAAATCTGTCCACCTAAATAAAGCGACGTTGTCAAAATGTCGTTGCATTGTTTTCCCGATTTTCTAAAAATACAGAATTTTTCCAGCGATAAAAAGCTAATTTCTTCAGAAAACCTCTATTTTCGCGGCATTTATAAAACCACCCCCACCCCCATCAAATCCACCCCCACCCCCACCCCATCCACCCCCACCCCCACCCCCATCCACCCCCACCCCCATCCACCCCCACAATTTTTATGGGGCAACGTGAGATACCTTGGGGCAAAGTGAGATTCTATTACATATAGGGGTATCGTTCGTAATTAGCGAGCGAAGCGAGCAGGTTAGGTTAGATCAACTAGGTACACGGAAAGCCTGGAAGGCTGAGTTAGCAAATCTAGCTAGCTAGGCTAGATAGAACCTAGGTAGCTAGGGGTGGGGGTGGGGGTGGATTTGATGGGGGTGGGGGTGGGGGTGGTTTTATAAATGCCGTATTTTCGTACCATTGTTATATTTCCCATGTATATTCCAGTCTTTCTGTGGGTGTAACAGCCCCAGAAATACAAACCCTCGGGGCTCAAAATACTCTATTTTGACAAAGTATTCTGATCACCTCTGTTTTTGAAGTTGCAAAAAATCTTGATTTTCCATCATGCAAATTACTTCAATTTATTTCATTTGACAGTGTTCACCTAATCTATCCCATTTTAAAAGGTTTAAATTCACCGGAAATAATTTTTTTGGTGTCAAATTCTTACTTAATTTTAATTTTTACTTGCAATTTTTGAAAACTTGGAAAACTTGTGTAGGTCTCTGTGCAAAATGTGTTTAGAATTTGTTGTACAAATCCTGGAAATTTTTTCCCCCAACCATTTAGAAGAAAGGAACTCAAAATACTGTATTTTCGCCACTAACAATGGAGGTCTCCCAACGTACGCTCACAGATTTGGACCAATCTAACGTCAATCGATCACAAATATGATTAGTATGAAATTTGCAAATGGAACTATCTCCCAATGCTCAAGTTTGGCGGAGATATTTGCATAAAAAGAGGAGAAAACGCACCCCCAAGGCTGGCAAATTTTTCATTTTTCAAATTTGCTGCCAATTTTTCCCCCTTTGGATGCAAATATCTCCACCAAACCTGTGGATTGGCAGATAGTTCTATTTTCAAATTTCATACTAATTATATTTGTGATCGATTGACGCTAATTTGGTCCAAATCTGTGAGCATACGTTGGAAGACCTCCATTGTGAGCTCGAAATACTGCAAATATTTTGACAAAGTATTTCGCCCATCCCTTTAGTAATTTAATGCTGCAAAATTAGCATGTTTGGCTTGTTCATCCTTTAGAAAGAGCCCACCCTCACGACCGAGGACTTGGAAGGGATCGCTGTAAAAATCCATTCGCCGGAACCAGCCCGAGAAAACGCCACCGTTTGCGGCACGTGTCACACCGTCGTTCCGAACGAGCCGACGAGCGAGGAGTATTACAATTTGACGGAGGAAGCCAGGCTAAAAGTGATTCGCGCCATGAAAGTTTCGTACACGCATCGAAACGGTATTGGGCTCACGTCCGACGCCGCGCTGCAGATTTTGATGGGAAACGCGGAACGGAAAGAGGACGACGTCATGCAGCTCGTTTGTTGCTCGGATTTCGACAAGTATACGAAAAATCGGGGCGGGTTTTATCCCTGGCTGAATCGTCAGATTTCTAAACTGGAGAAGAATGAAAGTTCGAGGCCGCCGAAACCTACGGCGAAGTAAGTATTTAAAAGTATTTAAAAGAGGGTGGATATGTATTTAATACGGAAAATGGGTGTAATATGTATTTAATATTTGCGAAAAAATGCCAAAATAGTTACGAATTTGTATGCACGAAAAAAACTTAAAGATAAGGATTTTCGCAAAATTGTTATTTTGTAATTAATACTCTGGATTTTTAAAATGACCAGAGGGTATGTGCATGTTTACGGGAAATCGTTAAATATGTGTTTCATACTTGTGAAAAAAATGCAAAAATATTTACCAAATAGGTTCCATAAAAATAATAATTTTCGCAAAATTCTAGAGGTATTTCTGGATTTAATATTCTGGATTTTTTGTGGTCTAATTTCTCTGAGCAAAAAAAAACTCATTGTCCTACATCCTTCAAGTATTAACAGTATATTCATATTTTTTGGAAAAATATGCAAAAGATTTGCATGTTTTTAAATAATACCGGAAATATTTATAAATATGTCTGAAAACCTCGTAAATCTATAAACTTCCCATATACATTCATGGAAAACCTCGAAATATGAAAACATATTTTGCAATTTTTGTGATCCATGCGAGTTATGAAACACACCCACAAAGTTTGACAGTCGGTCGTCATCAAATTGAAAATATTTAAATACATAACCGCCCCCTGAAAATAGCACTAGTTGAAAATTTGATTTAATGCTGTATTTATTTATTTAGATGGCGACGACCGTTCTGGATTATCGTCTGTCAAGATTGGTTCGAACAAGTGTTTCTCGCGTGCGTGTTTCTGAATCTGATTCCCGTAATTTGGGAGCTTGTTGAAGCCGCGGCAAGCACCGATGAGGCGTGTGGCGAGCATCACGGGATTTTTGTGGGGCTGAATATCGCATTCACGGCCCTCTTCACGGTCGAGATCATCATCAATGTATGTAATTTAGGGTGGAATTTTATTTTATTTCGATGGGTCAGACTTATCGTCAAAATGTGAACATTTTTAATCATTTCTCCCCTGTGGAAATTTATTTTAAAATTCTGAACGATGAATTTGTAGAGTAGGGAGTTGTCAATTTTTTGAAAATGTACACTCCAGATTTTGACACTTTTTGGCGGACGAGATCTCAAGTTTAATAAGCCTTCAGAAAAGTTGGACCTCATCGAAACTGGCTTCAAAAACTCAGCATTATTCCATTAATCAACTCACAGACGGCAAATTTATCGTCCAGAATTTTCAAATAAGTTCCCAGAGCGGAGAAATGATTAAAAATGTGTAGATTTTGACGATTATAGTGATTAGTCATCCAGTCCTGCATACGTTAATTTTGATGAATTGTATATTTTTAGATCCTTGGACGCCGATTGCAGGACTATTTTTGTGATCCGTGGACGTATTTGGACATTATCGTGTTACTGTTAGCCTATGGAGATTGCATATTCAATCTGGTCGGTGAATGCAAGATTGTGAAGGGAGGTGCCAGCGAGTATTTGCAAATTGTTAAGGTTCTCCGGCTGCTCAGAGTGTCGAGAGGGTTGCGTTTGTTAAGGGTACTTAAAATACGTCGTTTCGTTGAAGGTCTCCCAGCGTATGCTCTCAGATTTTGACAAGCTACACCGGGATTTTTTAGCGAGTTGCGCCAAAAAATCAAGCCGAAAATTAGGAATCATATGGCAATTATCAGGGTGCATAAACTTTTTTGAAGTTTATGCACCCTGGGCAATTATCTATCCCGTTGAGTAACCTTTTGACACAAAATATTAGGGACAAAGTTCAATTTGTTAGTAAATTTTGCCTCGCTGTTTCCTCCACTGGAGGAGAATAAGGGTGGACGTGTTAACCTTGACCCCAATATTTTTCCAATTCAACGGAAAAATAAGTGTCATGTGACCCCTAATTTATGGTTTGATTTTTCGACATAACTCGCTAAAAAATTCTGGTGTGGCTTGAAAAAAGGTTCCATTATAGTTCCAGTCGAGGACAAATTTGATTAGGACGAAATTTGCGAAATACACGATCTTCCAATGGGCACGTTTGGCCGAGATATTTGCATCCCAAGAGGAGAAAACTCACCTTAAAGTAGAGAAATTTTTGAACTCTTACTAAATGTTTTGCTAAATTTCTAAATTCGCTAAATTTTTGGAGCCAGAAAACAGTGTTTTCATAACACATCTAATTGAATCTAGTTAAATATATTCATTATATTTTACTTATTTGACTTTGAAATCTTCCAATTTTACACTTTCCAAATTTGTGTCATGTTTTCTCCTCTTCGGATGCAACTCTGAATCAAATCAAACGTGCCCATTGGGAGATGGTGTCTTTCGCAAATTTCATACTGATTAAATTTGAGATCGATTGACACTAGTTTGCTCAAAATCGGGAGCATACGCTGGGAGAAATCCATTGGTTAGTTAAAGAGATTAGTGGTATTTAATTAATTGCATACTTATTTTCTTGCAGCCCATCCTCCCCCAGTTTCAGACATCCGTGTCCCGAAAGATCAATGAGCAGCTCTTCATGGGGTTCGACATTGCGCGAGGATTTGTCCATTCTTCCGAAGAAGTGCTGAAATTTGTGTCGCAGATGATTGAAAATAAACGAGTTTGTAAAGAAATTCGGGATCATATGGAGAGAGAAAGGGCGGAAGGGTTGAAAGTCATGGGTCCGTTTTTAAAAAATTAATTAATTGGAATTATTTAGTTAATTGTTGTCTTTTTTTTAAAACTATTTATGTAGCCGTTCTGCAGCAGAAATATCCCGGAATTGCGATCGCCCTGAAAACAAGACACGCTTGCCGAGCTGTGATCAATGTCATGTGCGACACGCTGAATGATGCGAAGGACGAAGGTACAAAAATATAGGGGACATGTTTCGCGTAACCATTTGAAAACATACCTGTTCAAAAAAACTTTTTTCATTCAAAATTCGGTCATCACGATTTCTGAGTGAAAATTTATTTTTGTTCACATTCAGTCATTTTCTTTCATACTCAAGTCATTTCACTTCATCGAACTTCATTTCGTACTTTCTACGAGCAGTACTTATTGTCACCAGTCAATTTATGATCCTAGGGCTTCTTGACGACACTGAAATTGACGTCCTCACCCGAATAATGGAGCTCAAAATAAAAAGACTATGGCACTCGCCGGCCAGCATCGAGACCACCGCGTCCCAAGTCCTGCTCGCTAACCTCCTCTGGGTCGAACACAATGAAGAACTTTACGACACGATTCTGGTCCTAAAACTTATTTTTTATACGATTTTTCAATTTTTCCAAAAACAAGAAAACAATAATTTTCAAAAATTTAGAACGCTGCTGAACTGAAGAGTTACGGATTCGGGCAGCACATCTGCCACTTTGGCGACCCCACTTCCGGAATTTACGTCGTTGTGGCGGGAATGATAAAAGTTGTGTATATGCCGACGCCTGCCCTGATTGAGGCGAGGAATCAGTACGGAAAAATCCCAAACTCCGAGTTGTACATGGACTTAACCTTTTCGCAGCCGGAAACGGACTATTTCTCGTCGGGCTTCGTGTTTGGAGAGTACGGCGTCCTGCGAGACGATCCTTGGGCGTCGGATATCATCGCGGAGACGAGTCTGCTGGTTTACCACATTCCGAAAGAGGTCATTATCCAGGCGATTGAGAGATATGAGGATCCCTACGATTCGTTGGAGGGGCAGTTGTGGAGGTCGGTCGGAATGCGGAGAGCGACAGGGTTACTGGAACAGTTGCCGCGGTATCAGGTAGATGAGAAGTTCAGATAAGGAAATTGGCATGAATGATCAGGGAAATTTGACGGGGTTTTGATGGGGATGAAATTTGAGTAATTTTTAGTTGAGAAAGATGGATTTAAGTTGAGATAAGAATTGTTATGAATGATAAGGTAAATTTGAGGCGGTTTTGATAAGGGCAAAATTTGTATAATTTTTAGTCGAGAAAGATGAAGATATGGGCCGAGAGGCAGTTTTGATGTATGTATGATAGCTCAAAATTTGGGTAATTTTTAGGAATCCGAAAAAGATTGTAGGCCAAAATATATATGCAAATTTTGAGACATTTAATTTTTGGTGGAAACTCATCTGATGAAAAATGGCTGGAAATAATTCCTGAAATAATTTTGACCAGTAAAATTTAACAACTGGTTGTATAACAGTTTGGCAAATAGTTTAATTTTCTACCCTTAATTAGATACTAAATTAAGGAATTATAAGTTAATTTACTTACTTCTAATATTTCCCCGTTTTTTTCAGAACAATCTGGACAAGATCCAAATCGTCCTGCAACGTTCCACCATTCCGATAAATGATTCCCACAACGTGTTCGAAATCCCGGATTATGTCTCCGAAGTCGTCGTCATTGAGGGCTACGCCACCAACCAGGACACCAATGATACCTACATCGCTCCCTTCATCGTCCCCCGCTCCTGCACAAAGCTGATTCAGGTAATGATTAAAAACTATAAATAATATGTCGCCATAATTAATTTCTAATTAGCAATTAATTAATAACAAATTAATTTCTAACTAATTTCTTTCAGTTGGACAATCCCGCAACAGTGAACCGAATTTTAATCATAGCGGATGAAGACGTAGATTTATCCACGACGGGAAATGAAGATCGTATTTCTCTCGGGGGCAAAAATGTGAATTGGTAGATATTGAATTGATCGAATGAATAATAATAAAAAAATGTGTTTTTCAAGAACCTGAAAGTTCACTAAGAATCCACTTTCATTAAATATTTTGCATAATGAATTTCTTGCGTTAGTGATCAGTTTGTGTGTGTCAGCACATGTTGATGGCAGATTTAGAATTAGAATTAGTTTACATATGTTCCTGTGCGTTATTTATTATTGTTAGTGAAATGAAACCAGGATTTTTTCCACTTTTTTTGTTGGTAGTGTTTGGTTATCTGAGTAGGGATATTTTCGTGCATTGTTCTTATCCAACTATTAATAGGACAAGTTCGCGAAATTATAGTCATTCTTTAACCCGACGAAATTTTAATCCGTACCATATTTCCGAATGTGGAGTGCAAGTCGTGAAATGTGGGGCACAGTGCAATGATAACTCTAGGATTGTTGGGGGACGAGAAACTTATCGAGGCCAATTTCCGTGGATGGTAAATATGTAAATATTTATGTATGCACGTGGATAGGATAATTCTTAATTAATAATTTCTTCAGGTTATAATTTTCTTGCGAGACAAACGCCAACAGCTCTGCAGTGGGACGCTGCTCGATGAGAATCACGTCTTATCCGCGCAACATTGCGTGTTTGAGTGAGGAAAAAGTTGTGAAATTCTTGGATAATTACTGTTTTTTTTAACGTTGGACTCGACGACTTATCACGAAAATCAGGACGTTTTTATTGATTTCTTGTCTCCGGAAATTTATTTCAAAATTCTGGACGACGCATTTGTAGTAATGGAATGGCATTGAGTTCTTTAAGTCTGTTTCGATGAGTTTCCAATTTTTCTGAAGGCTTAAGATGTCCTCCTTAATTAAGCTTCCAAAATCTGGAGGGTATGCTTCATTTAAAAAAATTGGTAACGATCTGACGTCCTGAATTTTAAACCAAATTCCAAGAAATGAGTAAAAATGTGCTGATTATGACGATTTTGATAATCGAATCTTACATGAAAATCAATAATCGGTTATGAATCCCATAACTTTTTTCTTCATCCATCTAAACAAAAATGCTAATTACTTTCACAGTTTCGACCAAATGGCAACATCCCGACTGCGCATAATTTTGGGAGACTTTAACATTAACACCGTCATGGATGGGATCCACGAGGAGCGTCGTGTCGCAAAGATTTTCCGGTATCCAGAATGGAATCTGGAAACTAATGTAATTTTTAACGAAATATGTATGAAGTTTACAAGTTTTGCTTAAGGCTGATGACGATCTCCTAACGTCAATGGACAGGACGAGTTCGAAGATGGACACTGTGACATCGTCACCTGTGACGATGACGTCGTCACAGTGACGAAAAGTGACGAAAAAGTGTCACTTGTCAGTTTTGACATGTGACACATCATTTTTAACTATTTTTCAATGAGGAATTCGAAAATTCAGGTCATTTTGTGTTTGGACGTCACCTGTGACGATGACATCGTCACCTGTAACGATGACATCGTCACGGCGACGAAAAGTGACGAAAAAGTGTCACTTGTCAGTTTTGACATGTGACACGTCATTTTTAACTATTTTTCAATGTCAAATTCAATGGTGACCTCCATTTTGACCTCAGAGGTCATATAAAGGTCACATAAGGGTTATCAACTGTTAAATTTGACACAAATAAGACACAAAAGTCGAAAACACGTCAGAAGTGTCAATCTTAACAAATTTTCGAACAATTTGATATTCACATTGACGTATGACACTCCTTTCACCCCTTGGTTACATGCGTTGTAACGGTTTATTTGATATTTTTTCAGAATAAATTTCCTCGAAACATTAATTCGCTCATTTTTTAAGAGTAGTTTTGTAATACGAAGAATTAACTTTACATTATCGTAAGAAAATTAGTATTCATACACTCAAAATAAGGTAGTAATGAATCATTACCATGCGGAATGACTATGTGGCTCTACCACGTCGGTTACGATTTGTCGTAGAAATGGTAATAGTAAGTTCAGGGAAATTCAAATTTAATATATAATGGTATTAACTTCCTTAATATTTTTTAATGAATTTGAATTTCCCTGAACTTATTATTACCATTTCTACGACAAATCGTAACCGACGTGGTAGAGCCACATAGTCATTCCGCATGGTAATGATTCATTACTACCTTATTTTGAGTGTATCTGCATTAAAAACTATGCACATCTAATCATCATTTTGAGTTTCGACCTATAAAACTTGTGAAAAATATTGAAATAATTTAGGAAATTTATGATTCGGCAGCAAATTTCGTCAAGTTCTTTCACTTTATGAAAAATTTAATTTTTGACGCTGCAAAACTTTCGATTTGAAAAACATTGGCACTTTATTTGCCATTTTTTCGCGATAAATTTCTGAAAAATTTATAACTCGCTATTTTTTTAAATTCCAATCGATATTTCTGTATTTAGCAGCAAAACTTAACTTTGCATGATGTAAATTACATAAAAGTATGAAAAGCTGCATTTATATGAAAATTCTATAAATTTCTGCCATTTTAGAAATTTTCATTGAATTTGAATAGAGTGAGATTAAATATTTATGCAGATCAAGTCGTCATCTTATTAAGAGTTAACAAAATTTTCAATTTCGAAGCTGCCCCAAGTTACCTTTAAAAATTATGAAATGCATTTCAACAATTTTAAAAATTATTCTGCGGCAGCAAAGTTCACCAAATTTTTCACTTTTTCTTAGGTGAAGGAAAAGTAACCATAAAGTAATCATGTTAAAAGATCACCATGGTTACGGCGAAGCCTAAGTATGCATTCAGCTGCAACTTGGAAAAGGTCCCACTGAGATTTAGCACGAACCGTTCGTTGCATGAAAAACATGTTGAAACAAAATAGTTAGAGAATTCTGTTTTACAGATACGTTTTTTCGATTTTTTCAAAAATTCTACTTCCTTCTGGTACAAAGTCCGATGCCTAAAATTTCAAATCCATTTCTTGACATCAAGGTAGCGTTTCCGACCGGGGGATTGCCATTTTTACTATTCTGCTGGATAATACGCACATTTTCAGCCTTTGTTCGACTTAATCGGATAAAAACTCAATGAATTAGAGCTTTTTGAAATATTTCCATTAAGCAACTTATTTACGTATGTATATACGTGTTGGATTACTGGTTGCTAACGTATGCTAATAGTTTATTTACCATCGCTATTCAATACTCAACATAACCAATGTTGCTAGACAATCGAATTACGCTATTATTAGATCGCTAAGTGTCAAGGAATGTTGCACAGAATAATCCTTAAAATTCTGAAACTGGGGGATTAAATTGGTATGATACGCATCCACCCAATTAACAACGTTTAAGATTTGTTAATTATGATTATATGCATTGAAGTTCACAAATCACTAAAAATAATTAAATAAATAAATTTTAAAAAACAAACTTAGGTGAAGGACGCGCTTAAAATATTAAAACAAGTTGCGTCAAAAAATGTCATAATATCGTTTAATATTTATTAATTTTTTCTTCACCGTGGGCCCAACTAACACAGTAGAATAATATACCTTCAAGCATTTGGAACAATTGTACGAAATACGTAATTTTTGTATTTAATAAACTTTAAATTTGATTCAAAGTTATCAAAGAGATTTGAATGGTTATCTTTCAATAAATCGCGACACCTCTTATAGAGGAAATTTTCTCATGTTCCGGCGTATTTCAATAACTCCCCTGTAGCGCTGCACTTAATATTTCATCAAGTCTTTGGTTTAGTTACATTTATTGTTAATTATCATTGCTTTAAAAATTTAATAGTTGGGCACACGGCGAAGTAAAAATTAATAAATATTAAACGATATTATGACATTTTTTAACGCAACTTGTTTTAATATTTTAAGCGCGTCCTTCACCTAAGTTTGTTTTTTAAAATTTATTTATCATACTTTAATGTCAAATTATTTTTTTGACAATAAAAAATTAACTACTAAAAAATAAATTAAAAAATAAATTAATTTTTAATAATTATAATTATAATTTTTATTTTTATTAATTATTAATTAAATAAATTAACTACTATTACTTTTAACCAATTTTTTTAGTAATTGGTTAAAAGGTCAAGATTTTATACTACCAAAAATTAACTGTCTTTCCATAATAATATGAAAAGTTGCATTTATCTGAAAATTATGAAATTCATACCATTTTAGAAATTTGAATTTTATTTCATTTTTTAATTGCAGGAGCATGACTTGGTCATCATAAAATTACAGCGGCCCGTCCAGTTTTCTCCGTATATTCAGCCGATTTGTCTGCCCAGTGTGAGCGTAAACGATTTGCACGACCTTTACCACGAAGAGCACGACATCTTCGGGACGATTGTGGGGTGGGGGAGGACATCGCCGAATAAAACGTGGAAATCTTCCGTCCCTCTGGCAGCCCATGTGCCCCTTGTGGATCACGAATATTGCGAAAAACTTTATGCCCCTTTCACCGTCGGCGAGGGGATGTTGTGTGCCGGGGGGAATGGAAAAGACGCCTGCGTGGTGAGGGTGAAATACATACACATATGTATTTGCATCAACATATTTTGCATAAAAATTTGCTCAATCTGTTTAACTGCAAATTTATGAAATGACACTAATTTCACGAGTTTTTAGATTACTGCTTTAATGTAAAGTTAATATTTGGTAGGACAAAACTATCGATGCGAAAAAAATGGCGAGTCCGTTTTTTTAGGAAATTTATTGTGGAAAAAGGCAACTGAATACATACGTATTTGCATAATTTTCGTAAAAAATATGCTCAATCTGTTTAACTGCAAATTTATGAAATGACACTAATTTCACGAGTTTTTAGATTACTGCTTTAATGTAAAGTTAATTTTTGGTAGGACAAAACTATCGATGCGAAAAAAATGGCGAGTCCGTTTTTTTAGGAAATTTATTGTGGAAAAAGGGAAATGAATTAGAAGTTTTTTTAAGAATCACTAGTTTTGTGCATACATAAAAAATAACTTTACATCAAATCTTCATCGTATGTGTAACCGTCAGTAAAAATAATTGAAATCTAATTTTTATGAATATTTAAAAACATGGTTTTTAAATCATAATTTTTGAAAAAAAGGATCAGATCCTTCTTTCAAAAAGACCAGATTCTTGTCTTTCTGCACAACAAATCAAACATTTTTACAATTATTTAAAATAACCATTTAAAAAAACAACTGCATTACGACGTTGAAAACTAACATAATTTTGTGACACAAAATCATAGTAACGTAATAAATTCGTTAATTTTTTCACATCGATAGTTTTGCAAAACTTTACATGAAAGGAAGAAAAGTTGAATTTGTCTGAAAATTCATGAAATAAATTGATGTCATTCTACGAATTTTGCTTGAATTGGGGTGGAGTTACATTAAAAATATCGTCATCCTATATATGTAACCTTAATGTTCCCTAATTTTTCAGGGGGATTCGGGGGGCGGACTATTGATACATAATCTCTACTCTGGGAGATGGGAGCAGATCGGTGTGATTTCGTGGGGAAATAGTTGTCACACACTGCCTGGAATTTACACCCTCGTGGAGAACTATTTGGACTGGATTTATGGAATTATTGGGGGATGAAGATTGACAATTGTTGCACATATTTATTATTGCATTTCGAATTATGAAAAGTTTGTAAGTTGTGCAAATAATTGATAATTTTGCATATATTTATTTATTTTTTGGGATCACAAAGTATGCAAGATTTGTAAATTATACAAATTTGCAATTTATTTAAAAATCATTCTATAAGTTTATCTCTGCAATAACAAAGATTGACATTTTTTGCCCGTTTCGTATTTATTATTTGAAATTGAATTTGAGAATTTGCACAATTTAATGACAAATCAAATGTAAGTTTATGCACACAGAAACGCATCAGTAAGAAGACGACTTTAATATATTTTAATAAATTAAACCCTGCTGAAGCTAAAAACTAGATTTTTGTGTATCATGAGAGATCAATACTTGCTTCGTCCCCACATTTTACTTTTGCGTTGTTGGCTTAACGTCGTGACCTAGATAATTACAAGAATTTTAAGATTTTGGCAAGTCGTATACTTAAGTATATTTGACTGCGATAATGATTTGGCTTCGTCTCCTTACGAAGAATTGAGACCGGTTGTCAGTCGGCTGAGTGTCCTGTTGGACACAGAATAAGTATTTTACATACCTCGTTTTGCATGCAGTATAAATTTAACCGTTAAAAAAATTTGGAGTAATAATTTATTAACATAATGTTCTTGAGGGAAAGTGTTTTTCTAAGCTTTCTCCTGGTCGGAGTTTTGGTGGTGGGGATTCATGGACAAAAATTTAGTCAGGGTGACGACGACGCGGTGATAATTGATGGTAAGTGGGTTTGGGCGATTTTCGTGGCTGTGGATTTGTAAAAGAAAGAAAATTCGTCAATTTACAAAATTTATAAAAATAATTTACAAAGGTTAACGTAAACTTAAAAACGTAAACTTAAAAACTACAACGTAAACTTCGTAAATAATACGCTCGTAAAGGTTTTATTTTTAAATTCTCCAAGTGTGTTTATCCAATAGCATTGGAAATTATAATGCTCGAAATTTAAAAAATATTCGTCAATTTAGAAAATTTACGAAGATTTACAAAATTTACAAAGATTTTCAAAAATTTACCAAAATAATTTACAAAAGGTTAACGTAAAAGACGTAAACTTGGTAAATAATACGCTCGTAAAGGTTTTTTAAAATTCTCCAATTATGTTTACCCAATAACATTGGAAATTATGATGCTTGAAATTTCCTGAGTTTTAATTTGTAAGAAATTTTTTGCGAAAAAAAACGACGCATAGATTTACGAAGCCTGGAATTTTCGTAAATTTGCTTATGTAAAATTTAAAAAAATGTAACATTTGAAAGCCGGGACAAAATTATGGGAAATAAATATATTTGATTAAATTTGGTCAGATGTGGTCTTCTTTTTTTCGATAAATTTTGAAATTATGGTAGTAAATTGAATGCAACTCAAAATTTGTATAATTTGGATAGGGCTTTACTCCAATTCAAAATCTTAAACATTTATTTTGTTATTTAAATGAAACTAAACCGGAAATAAATATTCTTAGAATGCGCATTAATTTCGAAATATCAAGATTTTTAATTCCTACGAAATATTTTACGAAAGAAAAAGTCGTTGTACGTTTACGAAGCTTTGTGAGCTTGGAAATTTTGCAAATATCGTAAATTTAGGAAACTTACACATCAATCCTGGAAAGATTTAAGAATGATGGAATTTTCGTAAATTTGCTTATGTAAAATTTTTTTAAATATGTAACATTTCAAAGTCGTAACAAAATTTAGGTAAAATAAATATATCTGATTAAACTTGGTCAGATATAATTTTTCCTTCTTAGGTAAATTTTTTGAAATTTTGGTAGTAAATTGAATGCACCTCTAAATTTATATAACTTGGATAGGGATTTACTTCAATCCAAAATATTAAACATTTATTTTGTTAAATGAAACTAAACCGGAAATAAATATTTTAGAATATACATTAATTTCGAAATATCAAGATTTTTAATTCCTACGAAATATTTTTATGAAAGAAAAAGACGCATAAATCCTGCCTAGATTTACCAAGCTTTGTAAGGATGGAATTTTCGTAAATTTATTTATGCAAAATTAAATTGTTAAAAAAGCTGTAACATTTCAAAGTCGGAACAAAAATATGTGAAATAAATACAGGGTGGTTAAAATGTCACGCTACAATGGAAAATTTTTCGATGGGAAAAATCCATAAATTTCCATTAGTTACCGAAATTTTGTCTCTAAACTGCAACATTTTAAGAATTTTGTCATCAGTTTTGATAATAATTTATAAAAATCTCAATCCCAAATCTTGTAACTAATGGAGATTTAGGGACTTTTTCCATTGAAAAAATTTCCATTGTGGCGTGACATTTTAACCACCCTGTATATTTAATTAAACTTAGTCAGATATGTTTTTTCCTTTTTTCAGTAAATTTAGAAATTTTGGTAGTAAATTGAATGCAACTCAAAATTTACATAACTTGGATAGCGCTTTACTCGAATGCAAAAACTTAAACATTTATTTTGTTAAATGAAACTAAAGCGGAAATAAATATTATTAGACTATGCGTTAATTTCGAAATTTCCTGACTTTAAATTCCTACGAAACTTTTTTTTACGAAAGAAAACGACGCCAAAAATCCTGCCTAGATTTACGACGGATGGAATTCTCGTAAATTTGTTAATGTAAAGTTTTTAACAAGATGCAACGTTTCAAAGTCAGAACAAATTTAGGTAAAATAAATATATTTTATTAAACTTTATCAGATTATGGTTTTTTCTTTGGGAATAAATTTTGAATTTTTAAAATTTTGAAATTTTGGTAGTAAATTTAATGCAGTTTAAAATTTTCATAATTTTGATCCACAGTTTTTAGTCTAAAATCCTACGAGATGATTACGTGAAACTAAAGCGGAAGTAGCTAATTATTACCTAAAATATTGGGTACATTATTAATTTCGAAATATCGTAATTTTTAATTTCTACGAAATATTTTACAAAAAAATTACGCTTAAATCTTGCCTATATTTGCGAGGCTTTGTAAGTTTAGAATTTCGTAAATGTCGTAATTTCGCGTATGCATATAGTTTAAAAAAGGTTGCAAATTTCAACGTCGGAACAAAATTATGTAAAATAAATATATTTGACTAAACTTGGTCAGATTGATGTGTGGTTTTCTTTAGCAAATTTTGAAATTTTGAAGTTTAATGCACATAAAATTTACATAATTTTGATAAGTCTTTCTCTAAAATCCTCCTACGTACTTATTTTGTTACATGAAACCAAAGCGGAAATGACTATTGTTAGAAAATTGAGGACATTATTATTTTAGAAATATCACGATTTTTAATTTCTACGAAATATTAAAGAAACAGACGTTTACGAAGCTTTGTGAACTTGGAAATTTTGCATGTATCGTAAATTAACGCTATTTACGACGTTTACGAAGGTTGGCGTGAAATGCCTCAATTGATCTAGAAATACCCTGACATTTAATTCCTTCGAAATATTTTTACGAAAGAAAACTTATTTTATTTATTTAAGAATCTTTGTATGTAAGCATTGAATTTTCGCGAATTTCGTAAATTTACGCTATTTACACTTTTACTACAGGTGCGAATGTGACGTAAGAACTCTCATGATATTTCTTTGTGTAATATTTTAATTTAAGAATCATAGCGAGAGAAAACCAGGGAATATAAGTCTATAAGTTCCCAATATTTAGAAAAATTCACAAGGTAGTTTGCAACAAAAACTAAGCCATTTCAAGTCGCAAACTCAAATTCAATTCGGGGACAGAAAAGTGGGAATCAAGATGACACCAAAAAGCAGTGAAAATAACTAAATAAGTTCCCAATATTTCTGGGGAAAATCCAATATTTTTATTGTTTCTGTACAACAAAGTAAAGCCCAAAATTACAGGATTTCTCGACTTTTTCTTTATTTGCAGCTGAGATAAACGTGGCCGTGAAGCCGAGAGGAGGAGGACGCCAATTTGGAGGGTACGAATCATCTTGGCCAGTACGAGTGGGTATTCTTATGGAGGAAAAAATGGGGTTGCCTCCGCCGATAATGACATGTTCCACGGGGGACGGGAAGGAGGGGAAATGTGTCCCCTTCGAGGAATGCTTTCCCCTCCGACATATCGTCTCAGATCCGGAAAGGAACACTCTCAATGAGGAGATTCGACGTGGAATGGAGCACAAGAATTGTTCCGCGGTGGTCCATGCGGGTATAAACTGATTAGAATTTAATTAGTCAACTAATTATCAGAGGACAGATATGTATTTATGAAAAATTGCTAAAATACGTATTTAATATGCATGGAAAAATAAGGATTTTCGCAAAATTTGTACCTATTTCTGAATATTACACTCTAGATTTCGGTGGTCCAATGATTTCTTTGAGGGAAATTTCGTATAAAATCAATGAGATATTTACAAAATATATGTAAAAATGTGCAAAAGATTTACATATTTCTCGGAAATATTTTTAAATATGTCTGAAAACCTAGAAAAATGTGATAATGTTTAAAAATATTTTGAAGTTTATGTAAAAGTTAAGGAATACCCCGACAAAGTTTGACCGTCGGTTGTCATCAAATGTAAATAAATAAATACATATCCGCCCTTTGGTAATATGTAAATGATTAGCAGAAATACAAATAACGTTATATTTTGTTTTCCAGGGACATCAAACTATCGAAACATTTGCTGTCCAACTATCCCGCACCACACGGTTCACAAGCCACCGACAACGCCTGGAATGTCCGTACCGGTGGAGGACGGCAGTGACTTTTTTAGGGCGTCATCACCCTCCTCCTGCGGAAGGAGTCAAACCGCTAGTACAAAAATTGTTAATGGAACGAACACAATTCCGGGGGAATTTCCATGGATGGTAAATACAAATATTAGCGAGGGAACATGCAGGGGTGGGCAAAATGCTTTGTGAAAATATTTACAGTATTTTGAGCCCAATTCTTCCTAGGGGGTTTGGATTTCCGGGCGTGTTACACACACAAAAAGACGAAAATCTACGTGGAGAAGGCAACAATCAGTCAAAAATACTGTTTTTTTAAAAAGAAATCAACTTTCTATCGCTGTGAAAATGCATTGTTTCCACAATTTTTTGTAAATAAAGCATTTTGACAGCGATAAAAAGTTAATTTCTTCAGACAACATTTTCGTCTGACTGTTGTCTTCTCCACGTAGATTTTCGTCTTTTTTGTGGGTGTAACAGCCCCAGAAATCCAAACATTGGGACGAATGGAGCTCAAAATACTGGATTTTGAACCCAAAGTGGGAAAAGTAGAGAATTTTGAGCTGAGTTTTTCCTAGGGTTTTGATTTCCGGGGGTGTTACACCCACAAAACGACGAAAATCTACCTGGACAAGGCAATAGTCGTACGAAAATACAGGTTTTCTGAAGAAATCAACTTTTTATCGGTGTCAAAATACATCGTTTTTAAAACTTTTATAAAGAAAGTACTTATTCTGAAAGGAATAAAGAGTTAATTTCCTCACGAAACGTGTACTTTTGAAAATTGTCAAGTTTTCTAAAATTGTAAGATTTAGTCACCGGAAACTAATCCGGGTAAATTTTATTGTTTAAAACGTGATATTAGGTGTTAGGTTTTCTGTCTGTTTGTTGTTTTTTAGAGTCAAATGAATTTATTGAAATAAATTTAATAATAACCAAAACCAAGTTTTTTAAATTTAACATTTAAAAAACATACTTTTTATCGCTCTCAAAATCTTTATCTTCTAAATTTATCAATTTTCTTGAGGTTTTTGAAAAATGAAGTATTTTGAGTCAAATTTTTGACCATGAAAAAGTTAATTTCTTAAAAAAAACAACAGTATTTTCGTCTTACTGTTGTCTTCTTCGCGTAGATTTTCGTCTTTTTGTGGGTGTAACACCCCCAGAAATCCACCCTCTGGGAAGAACGGAGCTCAAAATACGGTACATTTTGACCAAATATTTTACCCAGGGTTTGGATTTCCGGGGCTATAAACCTTGTTTGTTACTTAATTGTGCTGACAAAGGTCGAAAATGTCTAAATGATTAAGAAACTAACATGCGTACAAATTTTAAAAAATTGTATGAGTAAAATTGTAAGATCGTCAAATTTTTGAAAAATTGTAAGAATGTAATTGCCAAACTTTAAAGAGTTTGACACCGAAAAAGAAATTCTGGTGAAAATAGTAATTATTAAAGAGTGTGATAGATAAGTATGAAAGAAAATCATTTAAATAAATTGAATACTAATTGTAAGATAGAAGACATTTTAAAAAGCAGAGGTTGCCAAAATATTTACAGTATTTTGAGCTCGGTTCTTCCCAGAGTTTGAATTTCCGAGGGTGTTACACCCACAAAAACACGACAAGCAAAAGTCAGTTTGAATAATTTTCGCCTGAACACTCATTTTCCTTGTAGGACATTACTATCTACCCAATTTTAAAGAATTATGTAAGATTCACTCGAATTTTTTTTTCGGTGTCGAACTGTAAAAATAATGGTTCAGAAATGTTCAACTTTTTTTCAGTATGATTAGCGAGGCTTAAAAATCGATTTTTTGTAAAACTTTTTCTGCAAAATATGTCCGCTTAAATGAAACCGATGCTGTGAAAATGCATTGTTTTCATGATTTTCTAAAAAATACATTATTTTGACAGTGATAAGAAGTTAATTTTTTTGACAAAACCCGTATTTTCGTGTGGCTGTTGCCCTCTCCACGTAGATTTTCGTCTTTTTGTGGGTGTAACACCCCCGGAAATCTAAACCCTGGAAAGAACGGAGCTCAAAATACTGTACATTTTTTCAACGTATTTTGCCCACCCCCTTTAATTTTACCTCTTTATTAGCTAATTTATCCAGAAATCCGGTCAGTGGGATGAAGAAACGTGATTTTTTTGCGAATACTGCATTTTTTCAAAGTATTTTGCCCACCCCATGTTCAGAACGTGACATCGTCCTCGTGTCGACATTTGGAATGCAACTGTCGCTACAATGTCGACATCACATTCTGCACCACGTGGACAGGACATTAGAATTAAATTGGTATCGATGATATTAATGACATTTTTCTTTGTAGGTCGTCATGTTCGGAAAATCTGGAAAACAGACGTGTGGAGGCAGCCTGATTTCCAGCAATATGGTTTTGACAGCGGCAGTATGGAAAATATTGACGAATGTAGAATTCAGAGGTCGATGGCGACAAATTTTGTGGCGACGAGGGCGTCAATTTTGGATGATTTTTCGGAAGCGTCGCAATCTTGAAAGACTATGAAATCGGATTTATCGACGGCGCCTGAAACGTTCTACGGCGTCGACTTCTGCACTAATTTTCAGAGTCGACGCTCGCAGTAGAATTTTACGGGCAGATAAATTGCAAAAAATTAAGTTTAAATTAGTTACTTTAATTTAAATAATTGATTAATTAATAAATTAAAATCATAAATTTCCCTTCAACGTCGGTACGCCGATGCCGACGTCGCCAAAAAAATCACCAAAATTAGCACCGTCGTTGCCAAAAATTGGTCGACGTCGACCTCTGATTTACATATATACATTTTTTTCCTGCTAATTAATTTCCATACATTTTTTAGCACTGCATTCACAACTATGTGGCGACGGACGTGTCAAAAATCCGTTTATTCATCGGAGACTACAATATCCGTTCGAATACGGACGGAAGTCATGAAGTTCGTGGCGTGAAGCGATTAATAAAGCACAAGTTCTTTAACATTCAGTCCTTCGTGAATGACATTGCGCTTCTCCGCCTGGACAGACCTGTCTCCTTCAGTAATCGAATCCAACCCATCTGCCTGCCTCCAGAGACGAGGAGTAATCTCGTGAATAAAAAGTTGGTCGTGGCTGGATGGGGGAGGGTCTCGTATGGAGGGCCGACGTCGCCTATTTTGCAAAAAGTGGTGAGTTTTAGAATTTGCATGAAATGTGTATGAATATGTATGAAATATTTGCGAGCAGAATGTGGAAATATGAATTTGTTGGGACCTAAGTCACCAATTTTGCAAGTTGTGTTATGTAATTTGCACAGGTATATATGAAAAATTGTATGAAATATTTGCGAGCAAAATGTATGTACAAATATGAGGTTTTTTTTACCAAAGTCGCAAATTTTACAAAAAGTTGTGAGTTTTATAATTTGCTTTATAGTTTTTATGAAAAATTGTATGAAATATTTACTAGCAAAACGAATGTATTTTTTGAATGTTTTTTTTAAAGTTTGACGCTGTTAATTATTTTTATTATCCAATTTTTATAACAAAATTTTAAAGGTTCATAAAATTGTTATTAGATATTTGTTTGTGAAAATTCGTACGAAATATTTCCGAGCAAAATGTATGATTTTTTTTGCCAAATTATTTTTTAACTCAATGCTGCTCTGAAATATTTTTATGGTTTAATTTTTTTAACTGAATTTTTGTCGTGCATGTAAACTAGTCGAAATATGGATAAAATTTAAGACTTTACACATTTTAAAATAATTTTTGATAAAATTTACGATATTTTGAAGACAATTTTGAAAAATACTGTAAAATTTGTGTGTAAGTCGAAATTAATACTTGTTTTATTTCGTTAGAATGTCCGAGTTTGGCCGAATTCGAATTGTGCCTCAGTTTACAAGGGAATTGCGCCTGGTGGGATATTATCAACCATGATTTGCGCTGGAGACAAGGGTACGCATGCAAATTATATGTAAATTGTTACACGTGTCTTTAACTGACTGAAATTATTTAGGATTGGATTCCTGCGTAGGAGACTCGGGAGGTGAGAGCGTTGGTCATTTTATGCAGAAATATGTAAATAGAGGAAATTGCAAAAAATGGCAAATGAATTAGCAATTTCTAAAATTACTAATTTGCCAGAAATTAATTTTGCATTAAAGTAGAAAAAGTTGCACAATGCATTTTTAGCCCGAGTCAGGGCTTATGGAACCATCATGTCCGTCCGTCCGTCCGTCCGTCTTACGATAACTCTGGTTAAAGTCATCCCACCGACTTGAAATTTGGTACACATATAGTATGGGGTAAATGAGGAGTTAAGTTCGAAGATAAGCAAAATCGGTCAAGCGGTTTACCGGTGGGGGTCATCTAGGTGGGTAGGGTATTATGCACCAAAATTTCAAAATTGTTGTAGGAAGCTGAAATTTGGCATTGAGGTTGCTAATGGTGTCTAATTGAAGAATATGAATTGAAATTAGAAAAATTTGCGTCTGAAGGGACCCGAGGGGGTGACCCATACCGATTTTTGAAATTACTCAAATCAAGCTGAAATTTGGTAGAAAAGGTGCTAATAGCCCCCAATGGAAGAATATGAAGTGAAATTGGTAAAATTTTAAGTAGAGGGACCCTAGGGGGTGGTCCATCCCGATTTTAGAAATTGTCTTCAAAAGATGAAATTCGGTACGATGATACTTAATAGCTTCTTATGAAAGTATATGAAGTTAAAACCGAGCAAAGTGAAACAAAAGTAACCCCAAAGGGTGACCCACACCGCTTTCTAAAAGTTTCTATTTTAAAAGTTGGTAGCTGGTATTCGGGATATATTTGAGTACTAAAGTGAAAGTGTAATGTCATAACGAACAAAAGGGCCCAGTAGGGTCACCCCCACTGGTTTGCAAAACAATCGTACAAGACGATTGGTATGATCCTGCAGGGTTAGAGTAGCTTAATAAATTTTAAGATTCTTTTTGCAAGGAGGACCCAGTAGGGTGACCCATACTGATTTTTGAAATTGGCCAAGTAAGCCGAAATTTTGCATGCTGGATCATGGGAACATTTTTGACGTTTAAACATCAAAAATATCAAAATGCAGTTCGCAATTGCGAATTGTAGTTGGTACGGGTCATTTGACAAAAATTTAGAAGCGGACTCTGCCCGAGTCAGGGACTCTGACACTCTGTCCCTGACTCGGGCTATATAAACACTGCACACTGTAGGTTTTACTTCTCCAAAACTATTGATTCGAAAAAATTAAATTTTGAGGAAATTTATTCTGAAAATATTTACTTATTATCTATTTTGTTTCAAAGTGATAGTTTTGTAGTAGAACCAAAAATAAAAATATGAAAGTTTCTATTTATCTCAAAACTCATGAAAATGACGCTATTGTAGAAATTTGCATTTAAAGACATTAAAAAATTATGAAGGACGACTGAGGTATTGTACCTTAATTATATATTTTTTTGGTTTTAAGGTCCCTTAATGCATAAGACGGATACCGGAATTTTTGAACAAACAGGCATCGTCAGTTTCGGGAAGGGCTGCGGTAATTCAAACAATTTTATGAATCTCATTTAAAAACTGTATGTAAATTAACAAAGTTATTTATTTAAATTTCGACATATTTAGGAACGCATCCCGGGGTTAGTTAATTACCGATTTAAATAATTAAAACAAGCTATTTTTAATTTTAATTGAATCTTAAGTAATTCTAATTTACTATGCTTTTAGGTTTACACACGAGTGACAGAATTTTTGCCTTGGATTGCTTCCAATATTAATAAGTAAAATTTGACTGAAAATTCGAAATAAATAAGTTATTGTGTTTTTAAAAAACTAAATTTGTGGTAGTGTAATTTGTCCCAAATTCAAATATTTTTTTCGAGGTTAAATATGCGGCCATAAATGAACCACATTAAAAAGTAACAGATTTTTAATCGCCCTACAACAAGTGATAAAAATCTAATTGACAACGTGTTCTGATTTTATTTACATCGTAAATCACACCCGTAAATGTAATCAATCTAATGACCGCGGAAGCTTGAGGGGACAGAGGGGCAATGTCCCCACGGTTGTTCGATGTCCGCATCATCTCCCCATTTTATACAAACCCCGGCCTCCCCTATCCTACAGTTTTAATGTCCCCACATGTCCCCACGGCTTCCGCAGCCACTGAATCAAAACCTTCGCGAAAGTGCATCATTTCCCAATTAAAAATCAGTTAGATTTAGATCTAGACTAATTTCATAGTTCTAGATTCAATTCAAGATCAATTTCGACAAATCTAACACTGGTTTTAATAGCAAAATTAGCTCAAAGTGCAGATTTACGAGTTAGCAGTGCTAACTTAGCACCTTGATTACAAGTGTCATTTGTACTACAAATTTTTGTACGTGTCAAGTCAATAGGTGAGTGGACTAAATTACTAAAAAATGTAGGGATTCAGTACCGATTTTGAAATTTCGAAATGTTGCGATAGCTTTATTGGTTGGAGATCAATGCTTTCAGAATACTTCACAAAATTTCTGTGAACAAATAAAATTTAAAATTTGAATTTTTTATGATTTTATGATTAATAATTTTTTATAATAAATTTATAATTTTAATATCATATGTATATCTGAATGAACGTCAATCTTATTTGGTGTTCCACACTCGTCTCATTTTTTTTTAAACTTATCAATCGCTATAATTATGTACCAAAAACTACATGTATTATTTTTAAACAAATCACCTTCGTCATTTATGATTTGACTCCAATTTATGACCTGATGAAGGTATCTGTAGATATTTATGTACCGAAAGCTTGTCACTATAAGTACATATGTACCAAAAACGGCATTTAACTGTATTATTTTTCAAGAAATCACATTTGTACAATCCGTCATTTATTTTGATTTGACTCCATTTTATGTATGACCTGGTTGATGAAGGTACCGAAAGCTTGTCAGAATTAAATTCAGTTTCAACATATGTCTTCGAATGCGGATCAATCTAATCATATAAATATATCTTCTGGTAAAAAGATTCGTCAAAATTGTACAATTTTTGTTGGTTTAAAAGACAACTGAGAAAAAGGAGGAGTGCATATGTATGCGACCGATTTTCTAAAAAGGTTACATATTATTCCATATTTCTGCTTATTAGAATTTTTACATAGAGGTAAAAAAATCATTGAATTTTTAGATTTTTATTGTTTTAGAGGATAACTTGGAAAAAGTACAGAATTTCTTTAAAAAAAAAAAGATAATATAATTTGTTCAATGAACCAATTTTTTACAAGAATTGAGGCTGCTCTAGAATTTGTCATGCAAATCAATCCCATAATTATATCATATCATAAAGTAATTTTTTCTAGTCTGCTTAGCATATGCGCAAAAAATGTGTATGTGTACACAGTAAAATAATTTGTCAACTTGTCAAAAATTTGTGTGCGGTTTGCGTCATTTAGAAGAATTAAGTGATGTGTAATCAGAGGGTGGATATGTATTTATTTTCAACTTTTTGATTTTGGTGACGACCGACGGTCAAACTTTGTTCGTGTTTGTTCCTTAATTTTTTGTGGATCACAAAAATTTCAAAATATTTTCACATATTTTGTTTTACATATTACTAAAATTTCAGACATATTTACACATAAACAGGGTTCGGAAAAACCCAGGGTTTTAATAAAAAATTATAAAACCCATGGGTTTTAATGGGTTTTACCATGTTAGTTGGGTTTTATTTGGGTTTTAATGGGTTTTAATGGGTTTTACCATGTTAGTTGGGTTTTATTAGGGTTTTAATGGGTTTTATTGGGTTTAAATGGGTTTTATTGGGTTTTATTAGTTTTAAGTAATAACTTCACAAAAATAATTCGGAATTTGTATCTATTCGGAAATTATTTTTGTTTTATAACACTTGAAATCTGTGATGCTAAAGGATGGAGTCAATTGTTGATTTGTTCCGAATTTTCATATATTAGAATAGTAATGAAATAAACTGCTTTAGAATGAATTGAGATAACGTCTTCTAATGTATGGGAGATGTATTTAACTTTTAGAATGTAGTTTTAAGGTAAAATTCAATTAAAACCCAATAAAACCCATTAAAACCCAAATAAAACCCACTTAACATGGTAAAACCCAGTGGGTTTTATTCATTTACAACCCATTAAAACCCAATAAAACCCAATAAAACCCAACCCATTAAAACCCAGGTCGGAATACCCTGCATATAAATATTTTCGCTATTATTTAAGAAATATGGAAATCTTTTACATATTTTGTAAATATATAAGCCGAAATTTTTTTGCTCAAAGAAAATTGGACCACAAAGATTAAATTCAGACATACAAATTTTTATTTTATTTTTTCGTGTATACATAATAATACATATTTCGTCGTTTTTTTCATAAATATTACATGCATATTTGGGAAATTTTTTTGTAAATGTATATCCACCCTCTGGTAATTCATGTTTGGTTAATAGATTGGGTGCGGTTTTTTGAAAAACAGGGTTACCCAAACTAAACTTTAACCCTTTTAGTATACGACAGCGGATTAAAAAATGTAGGAAATTAGAAGGTTTACGTCACGCAATACATGTTTTATGCAAGCAATAATTACTTGCTCGTCGCACGAAGCATTATGATTCTCATCATCTTCTTGTTCAAAAAGTTGTATAATAAAGATTTGATTTGACCCTTTTTGACCCGTTTTTTTTGGGGGGCAAAAATCCCCCCGCAAACAAAATCTCATCAATTTGCGATTGACAAATTTGAAGAATTACTTTCATCAAAATAAAATTAGGGGGAGCAAAAGAATAATTTCGAAGTGATTGTGGTTTGATTTTCAGTGGCCGCGGAAGCGTGAGGACAGAAAAGGGACAATGACCCCACGGTTGTTCGATATCCGCATCATCTCCCCATCTTACATAAACCCCTCCCTCCCTTATATATTCTATAATTTTAATGTCCCCACGGCTTCCGCGGCCACTGGTTGTGGATTTTGCACACAAAACGAGCTGCTTATCCCCCTCATAATATTAAGTACAACAAGAATATTATTAGTGAAACCACTCCTTGACCATCACACGCCAATGAGAAGAAGAAGAAGACACGCAGGAGCTTAATTTTATCCTCTAAATTAAAGAAGAAGAAAAAGGCAACAAATTTGAAACCCACGGAAAGAAAGGGGGTCATCTCTCCTCACAAATTCCTACCTACTGGCTGACTGCGGATATGCGTAAATATGTATGAATGTCAAGTCTACGTGGGATGAGATACATTTATTCATTCATGCTACAATTGTCTTAAGGTGCGATTGGATGAGGGTTTGACGCGGCATTGATTTTTAGTCTCACTTTAAATCTGTTTAAATGCAAAATTTCTAAAGCTTAAGGTGCGATTGGATGAGGATTTGGTAAATTTGTAATCTTACTCTAAATCTGTTTGACGTGTTTAAATAAATACAAATTTCTATAATGAAAGTGATTTCATGAGTTTAAGATTTTGTTTAACTTTGACTCCGCATTTGGAACATTTTAGTTAAGATTAAAGGCTTCAAACCTTTATTAGGTTGTAGACTTTCCATAGTTAAGGTGAAATAACTCAACCCCGATTACATGTAAATTTCTAAAATGACATCGGTTTCAGAAGTTTTGGGGTCAATGCAACTTTTTATAGTTTAATATAAAGTTAATTTTTGGCAGCACAAAATTATCGATTTGAAAAAAATATTAGCGAAAATTTTGAGAATGAAGCATGTGACAGATTTAGTAGTGAAATTTTGACTTCACATTTTGACAAATGCTAGGAGCATGAACTTGAAATTTAATTTTTACAAGTAAAACTTGAAATTTTGACTCCGTATTTGGAATATTTTATTAAAAATGTGGCTTAAAATCTTACTCAGATTGTCGACTCATACTTCTTTCGTACATACTTCCTGGTAAAAAAAATGCAACTCTCATACTTTATTTGCTAGTACATTATACACTATAGATCAAAAATTAGCGAATTCATGTTTAAGGAAATTTATTCTGAAAAATAGCAAATGAATTAACTTTTTTAATCAATATTTTTTTGTAGTACCAAAAATGAACTTCATACATATTATTGTATGAAAAGTTGAATTTATTCCAAAACTCATGAAATTTATGCCATTTTATAAATTTACATTTAAAAACATTGAACTGGGGTAGAGTGCAGATCAAAACTCTATGATACATCAAATCCTCATCTAATAGCACCTTAAGAAATAAACAGTGTGAGTTTGTTTGTTGCCGAGGACTTGATAATATTTCTCATCCGCCTGCATCAAGCAAGAGAAGACAATCAACAATTTTTCAAAACCGGTCGTGGACTAGTAAACTAAACTAAACCCACGTTTTGCCAGCCCAACATATCATCGCCATAAGCTACATACGAGTCTACTAGTCTTTCTGGTAGGCAAATAATACAATTTTGTTATGAATCCGTCCCATGCAAAAATTAAGATCCAAAAACCAAACCACTAACTAACTAACTAACTATTGAATCAAAGAGATTTTCGATACATTTAACTAATAACAAGGCACCCATCCTAACGACAACACAACTGAGGCGGATTGAATTTTAATTTATTTAAAAAATTTGGACGACGAATTTTAATTTCGATTTCAACCAGTTTCCACATACGTATCATTATCAAGGTGATTTCACTTGGTCATCTTCGATATGATGCGTTGTTACTACCGCAAAATGAGACGAGATGACCATTAGCAGTGCAACACCAGCAGCAGTGGTCAGCAAGCAGCATCATCATCAGAGCAAAAAGTGCCGTGGAAAACCGTTTTTTTGTGAGAAAAGTGAATTTACTTTTGTGAGTGCATTTGGTTTTTGGTAATAATTGCATCCATTCACGTGATCCACCACCTCCGAGTAAACAGAGGAAGGAGTAAATTTTTTTAGGAAATTTGGCTTTTGAAAAAGAAGAAACCAATAATAATGTGAGCGACTTTCTTATTTTGGAAAATATGTGTGTGTGTGGTGGGAGAGAGAGAAGAAAATAGTGTAGTTTACGATTAAAGGACAAGAAATGTACATCTTTCGACTCTTTGGGGTGGCCGTTCTCATCCCACTGATTTCTGTGGGGTTGTGTGCCAAAGATTCGGGAGGAGGAGGAGGCAAAGGTATGCAAATTAGTGTAGGATTCATTTCCACAATTGGCAAAATCGACACATTTTTAAGCATTTCTGTCCTCGGGGAATTTATTTTAAAATTCTGCACGACGAATTTGTAGAGCAGGTAGTTGTTGCCAATTTTTGAAAATGTACACTCCAAATCTTGACATTATTTTAATGAGAATCAAGGTTGAAAAGCCTTCAGAATAATTGGAACTGGCTTAAAAACCTTGCCAAAATCGTGAAAATCAACACATGCTTAATCATTTCTCCGCTCTGGGAATTTATTTTAAAATTCTGAACAACAAATTTGCCGTCAGTGAGTTGATTAATGGAATGGCGTTGAGTTTTTTCAGTCAGTTTCGACGAGTTCCAATTTTTCTGAAGGCTGCTTAACCTTGAGATCTCGTCCTTCCAAAAGTGTCAAAATCGGGAGTGTATATTTTCAAAAAATTGGAAACTCCCTGCTCTACAAATTCGTCGTCCAGAATTTTAAAATAAATTCCCAGAGGAGAGAAATGATTAAAAATGTGCTTATTTTGACGATGAGTAATCGAGCCCTACGTTAAAATGTACAACGTGTCAATATAATTAATATTGTCCAGGGAATAAATTGCGGCATCTCTCACATCACAATGAAACTGGACCGGTCACGTTTCCAGCTGTCAACACGGTTCCAGACAACAACGCGACGGACTCCATATCTCCGCGAAGGTCCTCTTTTGACTCGATGAACCTCGACGTCAAACCGATTTCAAATTCGACACGTGTCGAGAGACGCTTAATTTTCGATGAGGGTGAAGGACGAGGAATTATTTATGAATTTCTTAACCTCTCCTGGCTTTTTACGCTGCTGTGGAAAGCAATCTCGGTAAGGAATGGTTATCTTTGAATTTTATTGATTTTATGGTGCGGCGCAAATCTTTTTCAAAAAATATATAAATTGATTGCATAAATATTTCTGTTATTTAATACAAAAAAAACTAATTATTTTACTATTGACAAAAAAGTTTAGGGTCAAATTTAACGATTTTATTTAAATTTTAAACTTAAAGAATTAATCGTTTGAGGACAAAATGGAATATTTTTGCCTTATTTTCGTAAACATTTTCAACGATTTTTCCCAAAATCCTGCAAAATTATTAATTAATACGTCACTAATTAAATATGTTCCCATGTTGTAAAGCTACGCCAGGAAAAAATTAAATGTTGGCTGGAATTTAAAGAATGTATGATTCTGGAAAAATACTATATTTTTGCGTGTTGTTTTCCTAAATTTATCACAAATTCGCATATTTTGGCGTTATTTTCGTAAATATTTTCATAAATTCTGCCGTATTATCATTAATTAAGACGTCACTAATAAATAATGTCCCCATTTTTCAGAGCTACGCCATCGTGGCCATCGTGAACGTACTGCTCACCCCGCTTTTGAAGAAATTCGGGTGGGGCGGGCCGTACTGGGAGACGTCGATCAATCTGGGTAATTCCGGCGATCAACACTTATTCAATTTTGGTCCCAGTCTTAAGAAATTCAGGCTGTCTTTTGCGGACAATAAAGGTTCCTCGAAGGCTGACATGCATCAAGAAGGGTCCGGTGGTGGGATGCCCCCTTCCAAAGGGGCCTGGGGACCGCAACCACTCCCCCCGCAAATGCATGGTCACCAGCAACCCGGGCATGTCGGCTTCAATCCGCACCACACCGGGCCGGGTTGGCTTTCTTATGACCAGGCCGCCCTCGCGATGCCCTATGTCGACAAGTATTCCATGAAAGCGGCGAAAAAAGCGCAGAAATATACGAAGAAGGCGCAGAAGTATGCGCACAAAGCGAGCAAATACGCGGCCAAGGCGCAGGCTGCGAAATTGTCGATGAAACCGTTGTATGCGAATGGGTTTATTCACCCGGGTGCCGCGACGGTCCCGGGAGTGCCGGCGTATGGGTGGGGAAAGTGATGGGAGAATGGAAAGTGAAATACGTGGACTGAGATACAAAATTGATATTTATTTTTTGGAAATTTTGCGAGGATTTTTATGATATTTATTACGAAATTTGATAGCATTTTAATGATATTTTATTTATTTTTGAAATATTTACGACTTGCCAAGCTTTAGTTAGTGGAGATTTTTGAAAAAAATGCAATTTGTATGATTAAGAATTTTATGAAATTTTGTTCGCAAAAACCATTTGTCAATGCAAAATATGTAATGATTTAAAAATAAGTGAAGTACATATGTATTTATTTATTTTATTTATTGTTTTTAAAATTGTGTGTAAAATTAAATTGATTTATGTTTTTGTGGGTTAACGACAAATGACAAAGTAATAATTTTGAAATATTTATTTTATATTGTAAATTTTATAAAATTTTGTGACACATCAACTTTTTGTCAATGCAATTCCAAATATGTGAAATATGTATAATAAAAATGAATTTACCCTATTTTTGAAATTTGGTTTGCGGCATTAAATGAAATCATTGACAAGTTTTTGATTTCTACTTTTTTTTACTGATAATTAGACACGTACCATTTTAACGACTCTTCTTCATCTTCTTCTTTTTAGCGTCACGTCCAAAATAATGAACTACTAAACTTGATTATTCCGGTCGCCATAAATTAATGTCTGATTATTCCGGTTGCCATAAATTAGTCCATGATTACGATTAAAAAACGTGTGCCAATCAATCACGTACAAATTATGTGCAACCTTCCCAAATTCAATTCGGCGCAACCTTTCACCACTGGGGGTTAATTTCCACGACACGACCTTCCTCCCATTGATTCGACATGCTTCAAAATTTGAAACAACTTCGAAACGCGACTTGTTTTACGGCATGTCAAATTTACTTTTAAAACCTACCTGCCCAGAATCAGACCCATTATTAAATTACATTCACACAAACGTGACATGACTGACGAGTAAGTATAATTAACTTTTTTCTTGTTTTAACCGTAATATTATTGAAATTGAGGTGTAAAAATGAAAATCCAATATTGATTACAGAGAGTTTTGCATATTGTGATCCACCTGCCAATTTACTAGAATTTTTGCATATTGCAAATTCATCCACCTGCCAATTTACATGTGTGTAGAGTTGGTCGAGTTTCAAAAATGGCACTTTGTTAATTTCTTAATAAAATAAAACCGGAAATTCTTGAAGAGAAATAAGTATGCAAATATTTTTTAGTTCGATAAAAATTATTGGGACTAAACTGAAATTAATATGCAGAGGGGAATTTGCATGGCGAGTTATCAATGAGTTACTTATCATCGATTAAGACGGCATAATAAATCTGACAAGAAATGACAACGTCGTGTCACTAGTCAGCATCAAATCTGCACTTTTTTGCGGCTAAATAAGCATATTTGTTTGCAGTATGCACAACAGGTCTCGCTTAGTGAGTAAGATGATTTGTACTGAGGGGACAGGTCAGCTTATTTAGCGGAACCATGCAAAAAACAGAAGTCAATTTGTAATTTATACAAAAATTGCTAAATTGTTGGGTGCACGAACATGTCAGTCGTCAGTCACAAGTTTTTTGGTTGCTTGTGGGTAAACATGAACGTATATGTGAACGTATAATGTGTGACAGGAGGATGTTTAGTGAAGATGACGATGTATGTATGGGACGTGACATGTGATGCACAAAGTTAAATAAGTAAAAAATAATCTGATAACATGCACATTTATAGTGGAAAATGAAGTACAGATATTTAAAATTTGACTGTATAATCGAGCCTTCGAGTACTCATTTTGGAGATTAAGAAAAGATGGGATACGTATTTTTGGAAAATTCTTTAAATACAAATCTCATAATTTTTGTAAAATGTGTAAATAAATACGATCAGGTTGAATGTATGTGTTTTAATGTTATTCATGAATGCATTGTGGAAAACGAAGAATTTAAAGTTTGAGTCAAAATGTTTGACTTAATAATAAAGCTTTGGAGTATTAATCTGCACTCATTTTGAACATTAGGAAAAGATGGAATACGTATTTTTGGAAAATTTCAAAATAAAAATCTCATAATTTAGGTATGTAAAGTGTGCATGTAAATAAGATTAAGTTGAATGTTTGGTCAACTCCCACGCTGATGAAAAAGGAAAATACTTCCAAAATTCCTTTTTACGAATTAACATGAGTAATTAATTCCTGCGAACTTTCTCACCCTTGTGAATCATTGCATCCGGTTTGTCCTTCCCTAAAATATTTCCTTGATGAGTAATCGAACCTGCACTGATTATGGGTTAGATATATCTCAGTTTTTGACCCCTAGAAATTTACTTTTCGTCGTTATATTGTACCGTAACTGGAAGAAGACTGGAATGAGATGGCACATAATGAATGGATAATAAATACATATGTGTGATCACTCCACCCACAGTAAAATTAAGAAGAATGGGATGAGATAGCACATAATTGCACCCACAGTAAAGTATCGTTTAAAGGACAAAGGTATAAACAATGCATAAATATGTACATTACATGCACACCTTGTGAGAAGAATTTTGGAATGTACATTTCATGAATTAATTACTCAATAAAAGTTGACATTTTTTGTATCAGACAAATTGTAAAGTGTAAAAGTTACATGGCTGTAGTTTTATTTTGTAATGAAAAGTATTGCCGTGAACATGATTTTCCTTGTACATAGTCCGACCATAAGTTCCCGTGAATGCATTTCCGGTGATAAAGCCCAAAGTATTAGAGCTATCTGATAGAAATTTTTGTGGATGAACAAGGTATTAATCTTGTTTAGAAATCATAACTTCGTTTTCACAATTTCCTCCATGGGCTTGTACACAAGACATAAGTCGTGGCGAAAACTGCTCGATCGCGGCACGCACGGATTTCCAGGGAAAAGCGCCAGATCTTCAGTAAGTGCGACCTCAGCCCTTCCACACTTGGGTGAAATTTAGAGCATACTTGTACCTATAATTTTCACCACCAGTCATAATTTAGGGGATTAAGGTCTGCAGATACTGAGCACCGTTCTACGGATGAAAAAAAGTCATGAAAATTCGTCTGAAGCCAGTTTTGGACAATTTTGCACCTTGCGCAGGAACAGGGTCTTGTTGAAAGGTCCAATGTCGATTTTCGGAGGGTCCAGGGTTCAGGTTATTAACGTTTGGCTTTAGGACACTCTCAAAATAATTCTTGGCTTCAACTTGTACCCTTTGCGATAAAAAACAGAGATTTCATTTCTCCAGCCAACTTGCTCCCATGCACACCACGGTGATGACTTCGTATTGACTTCCGCATACTTAAACGGATGTCAGACTTCTGTACAACAAATATCTGGCCTTTTTTTCTATTAAATTTTTTGCCAACGGTGAAAAGTCTGAAATACTTTTGGCACGAAAATTGGCGCGTACCACGATCAACCTGTGGCCGTCACGAGTTATGTCTTGTCTAATTGCCCGTGGACGAAATCTTGACAAAGAAGTTATGATTTCTAAACAATATTAATACCTTGTTAATCCATAAAAATTTCGAACAGATAGCTCTAATACTTTGGGATTTATTACCGGAAATGCATTCACGAGAACTTATGACCCCACTATGTACATAATAACATCTAATTGTAAATACGTACATACGTGCTCAGACGTACATACGTGTTAGATATCTAATATTTGAAAACCTTATATGATTTTTTGCCTAGTCCCCCAAAAACCGTGAGCGACTACGTGGTGGGAGGAAAAAGGGGGTCAGTGTTACTAACTTCTCCTCTGTGTCAAGTTATGCTGAACTTGAGAATCTGGTGGAACTAGGATCTGGTTTTCTCCCCAAGAACCAACCCAGTCTGGTTTCTGTCCCATAATGAAGAAGAATTCGCATGCATGAGGAAAAATTCACCTATGTATTTGCAACTAACTAACTTTACTACCGCTTTCAGATCACTACGTCCACCTTCCTAACTTCCTTACGGTTTGGATTAAATATGAAGAAAAAACGCACCTAATAGTATAGAAATGATGGCAGTAGTTGACCAACTGGTAGGCCGGTCGTAAGGACATAACAGGTTACCAGAAACCTCTAAGAGGTTAAAACTTAACGATAGATATGTGGGTTTGGTTGGTCACCCGATTGAATGGCATGGCTTGGGTTTTACATACGATTTCAAAGTCAGCCTCAAGTTTATAACCTTTCCTTATTGAATTTGGATTTAAACTTGAACGGCAAAACTACATTGTAAACCTTTCCCTTACAAAAGCTGGGTTAAACCGAGGTTTACATTGTTTTTATGTATAATCAAACTCGGCATTTTTTGCGTAATTATTTCAATTTGAATTTACAACATGATAGAGTTTAATTTAATACAGAGTCACAGTTTTATTCGTACGGAGTTAAGAGTGAGAGTTGCCTTATTGTAGGAATATTTAGGGATGGTAGTGCTACATGGGATTAGTCATATAGTTGAAATTCGTATGTGCATATGTATTTATGTACAATGAGACGGTGCGTTGAGCATGAAAATGTTGCAGATTTCAAATTAGTGCGAAAGGTGACGGATTTTTGAAAAAGTAAAAGTGCTGTGAATAATTATTTACGGTGACAATTTGTATTGTTATAATGTGCAAGAAGGAACGAATTGAGTGACTTTTTAATCTTAAGTGAATAATTAGTTAAGTTTGTGGGGTTAAAAATTTTGACAAACTTTTGTTTCAAAATGTGGCCCTTTAAAAGACTAAATTTTCGAATAAATAGTGTACTTTTACTGGTGGTGGTGCTTATCGGAGGAGGGACGCTTACCGGGACGAATTCGATTGGTGGGAGGAGACACATTTTAAGCAGTAATGGTAAGTAGACAAATACTAAATTTTGCACGTGAGAGTTTTGCAAATAATTTTTTGCACGTATTTAAGAAACAAAATCATTACATTTTGGATAGAGTTTTGCAAATAAATTTTTGCCATTTTTAGGAAGAAAATTGTTCAATTTTGTGCTTAGTTTTTCAATAATTTTTATCTTTGCCATTTTAAGGAAAAGAAATCATGAAGTTCTGCAAATAATTAAAATCATTCAATTTTGACGTGCAAGTTTTGCAAATAATTTTTATTTTTTGCCATTTTTAGGCAGAAGATTGTTCCAAGTCATTCCAAAATCTGGGAATTGTCTGCACGGGAATTGTACCGGAAACGTGGCCAGCGAAAAATTGAGACTGATTAAACGAGCCTCCGTCGTAAAAGATTACGGATCACATTTCTCCGTCGAGACGTACGTTCCTCCACAATTGTCGCACATTATGGATTTGGCGACGGGTAAAAAAGCGCAGGAAAATGAAATTTCAAAGGCGCAGATTGATCCTTCCCCGGCGTCATTCGCTCAGCGTGGCGGTGGTGAACAGTTCGACAATTTTGGACATGGTCACAACCTCCACCACCAAGGATTTGATACTGCGAACGACGCCATTCTCCAAGAACGGTACGACGACCAGATCGCGATGAGTGCAAATGTCCAGCAACAACAGCAGCAGTTTCAGCACGACGTGTCCCCCCTGGTCCCCACGCCAATTCCGGATTGGCCCCTGCCCACGCCGAATCATCATAATTATCCGGAAGAACAGCATGGTGCGTTCCAAGGACACAATTTGGGACAAGTGCACGGTTCACGAGAACAACAACACCCTGTATTCCAAGGGGGACAAAATTTGGAACATAATCCCGGACAAACGCAAAGTTTCCAGTTTACCTTAGATCCCAATAATGGACAAATGATTACTGACGAGACGTTGAGACAAGAAAATTTGTCCCCACCACCACCACAACCACATCATTACCAGTCGGAAGCAAATCAACACCCCCAAGAATATGCCCCCCATGCCCCACAGGAATTTAATACCGAACCTTTGGACCACTTCCCACCCGCACAAAACCGTCTGTACTCCCCCGAACTGCACAACTATCAAAGCCATCCCGGCTCCCAAATCGGGGGAAATATTATCGCCGCGATACCAAATCAAAATCATCCCCAAAATCTAAACCCCCAGGAAACCCACCCACTCGCAATCATCACCCCGACCGAAGGTCAAGTTCAAGGTCAAGATCAAGGTCAACTCAGCCGTGCCGACTATTACGACACTGACTATTTCCCATCTTACCACAGTGCCGGCTGGGCCGAGGGGGACGGATCCGGCTGGGCGTCCTGGGGGGAACCCCATCATTCCCACCACCACCACCCAGACTACCACGCCCTCAAAAAAAAGGAGGAACTCGTCGCCTCCCTCGTCGCTGAAGTCGCGTGGAAAGTGATTTCTTCCTACATCTTCGTCTTCATCGCAAACGCGGTTATCGGGCTTATCGGAAAATATCTAGGATTATCCGACTCCTTCTTAGAGACGAAAATCACCCTGGGGAAAGATGCCCGGCATCCCTTTGAACATTACGGGTCGGGTAATTCGGGGTCATCATCAGGGTCATCTTCAGGGTCACCTTCTCCCCCTCATAAAATGGGGAATCCTGGCGGTGGTGGGGGTAATTCCGGCTGGGGTAAGGACACCTATTACCCCAGCGATCCCCTCTACCACCCCGCCTCCGCCCTGTACCACCACCCAACCTACCAATACTACCCGAAGGGGACGGAGTACACCATGCTCGGCTATGATCAACATCATGCCGTCAAATATGCGAAAAAGTATGCGAAAAAATATGCCAAAAAAGCGGGGAAATATGGTCTCCGACCCAAACCGATTTTGCCGTATATTCCCTCCTACAATTATGGGGGGCATGAAGCAATTTCCGGGTGGGGACGGGGGGATCAGGGGGCGAAGGGGGACAAAAGTAAGGAGATCGTGGTACCCACGACGGCGCAGAAGGTGGACAAGTTGGGAAAAGGCGTCTCTTCCGAGAACAATAAGAACAATGAGGGGACGAAAGGAGGGTCGGATGAGGGGGGTGGCAGTGACGATGAGAGTGACGAAGAAGAAGGTGGTGGTGTCGATGTGGTCAAAATTGGGAAAAATGACACCGTGACACTGGACAAAATTGGACCTGTGATTAGTGACGATGCCGAAGAAACTGGGCAAACGCTGATACCGGAAGGAGAAGAAGTGACCTCGTCGTCGACGGTGGCGTCGGTTTTTTCGGAGTCACCAACGCTGGCAGAATTTAGTTCGACACATAATACAACGGAAGAAGTTGCGCCTGTGGCGTCGGCTGGATTTTCGTCGTCGTCGTCACCACCTACGCTGGAAGAATTTGGTCCTAAATATAATACGACAATGGACGAAGTTGTATTCCCCACTATTTCGACAACCGGAAGTAGTAGTACCGCTCTTTTTGATGATAAGAACAGTACGACGACGACATCAAATGATAATATCGCAATTATGACGACATCTCGTCGTCGTCCCAACTTCGACAATCATTAGCTATTCAAAATATTAGAGCTTTTTTGGGCTTTAATACGACTATTTTTGCATTATTTTCCACGCGTGATTAAGTTTGACGGGTTTATGATGATGCAAAATTCAATGCAATTTACAAAAGACTCGTATCGACCGATTTTTCAGGTTGTGTGTTTATGAGTTTCGTGTAATCACAAATTTTCAATAAATTTTGTGGGCACGAAAGATGTACAAATGTAGAAACGGATGAAAGTGTGTTTGTGTCGTGTTATTTATTAATTTTACATTTATTTATTATTTATTACTGTGTGGATGAATTGGTATGCACGTATGTATTTTTCGTATGAAAATGTTGACGTTGTAAAATGGGGAGTGGAATAAAGACAAAAGTGAGTTTTTATAATGATTTATTGCATCTTGCTTTACAAAAATGTTGAAATCGTTTGGTCTGCATATTGCACTTTTTCCTGACTGCTCTCATTCTCATCGAGTAGCTTACATTTTATTATGTACATAGGTATCACGGTCAAGGCAATTAGTTAAAATTTAATCAAATATGCCCAATTAAGATGGGGCGGATATCCTCGGAATAAAATGAAAAGCATGGGAAAATATTTCCGGTCAAGTTGAATATACGCACATTTGCATATTTACATATTTATGCAAATTTACACGAGGGATTTTTTCTACATTCTGTGAATTGCATATACGTTATTACCACTTCAGAGTAAGTAAATAGTTTGGTAGCATTGTGAGTTGCGAGTGACCGGTTGGATGGAACTGTGTGGTTAAGGTGCCATAGGATGCCGTTTGGAGCGTCATAGATTTTAAATCTCACTCCACCCTTATTTAATTTATTTAAATTAAAATTTCTAAAATGGTATCAATTTCATGAGTTTTTTGGGATAAATGCAACTTTTCATATTTTTATATATAGTTCATTTTCGGTAGAACAAAACTATCAAATTGGAAAAATTAGGGAATTCTTTTTGACGGAAATTTATTGTGAAAAAGTGGCAAATGAAGTATCAATTTTGTTCAAATTCATATTTTGGTAGTATCAAAAATTAACTTTACATTAAAGTATAAAAAGGTCCATTTATCCCAAAAACTCATAAAACTGATTCAATTGTTTTAGAAATTTGCATTTAATGACGCTGAAAATGGGTAGAGTGAGACTAAAAATCGATGCTACATCAAATCGTCATCCAATGTAACCTTAAGTAAATAAGTAAAAAAAACTGCAAATTATATTAAATGAATGGAAAATGATTCATCGCCCCACTCCTGGAAACCTGTGTCCCAATTCTTTTATCAAACGGATTATCGATTGATAAGTTTATCATTTTATTATGTAAATCAACAATCCGGACCCCGGAGAACTTAAACCTCACTGAAAATTTTATTAATCATGCAATCGTGTAAATATTTAAGGGTTAACAAAAAATATAATATGCATGAATGCATGCATATTTACATACTCAAATTTCATAAGTAGGAATCAGGAATCAGCAAAATGTTCAGAGTTCCGGTGACCCAAATTTTTTATCAAATAAAATAAAATGATGATCAAGCCACGCTTAAAACGGTTTTCACTTCATTTCGGAATTAAACTTACACATAAAAGATTTAGGAGCAGATTTCTCAAATTAAGCAAAATGTCGATATATTTTTTGCAAACTTTGACAAAGTTTCTACTATTGTGTGCACTCATAACCGAAATTTTTTCAGGTATGTAACTATTTTGGAAAAATACCAATACTGTAAGACTCATAGCCAAAATCGTCAACGAACGATTCTTTGTCAAAATCGTCTTAATCGTCAAAATCAATACATTTTTAATCAATTCTCCGCTCTGGGAATTTATTTTAAAATTCTGTACAACAAATTTGTACTCAGTGAGTTGATCAATTAATGGAATAACGATAAGTTTTTTGAGTCGATGAGTCCCAATTTTTCTGAAGGCTTCTTAACCTTGAGATCTCCTCCTTAAAAACGTGTCAAAATCCCGAACAATTCAATTCATTTCGTCCAAAATCTTTTTTTGTAAATTGGCAACTTTTGGCTTTACAAATTTTGAAACAAATTCCCAGAGGCGAGAAATGATTTTCAAAAAATGTGACAATTTTGGCGATGAGTCCTACCTTACAAAAATCTACTACATGCTTTATTTACAGCGGGATTAATACGACACCCCGAAGAAATCTCCGATATCTCCTCCCTCACCACCGACATCATCCTCGAAAGCCCCATCATAACCCAATGGGGGGAATGGGGCCCGTTTGACTACTGCCCTCCCGGAACCTACGCGGCCGGCATGTCCCTCAAAGTGGAACCTTATCAAGGCGACGATGACGACACGGCGTTAAACGGGATCAAACTCCTCTGCATTCCGCCCGGCTCGAACAACTTTTCTGATTCGGTGGAAATCTCGAGCTCCGTGAACCAGTGGGGGTTCTGGGGGAAGACGCAGTACTGCGATGCCGGCGTGGTCACCGGGTTCCAACTCAAGTCGGAAGTTTACCAAGGGGGGAGCAAGCGACGGATCAAGGATGACGACACGGGGGCCAACGGGTTGCGAATTTTCTGCTCAAATCTCCCGAACGGGGGATATTTGGAGGACGTCGGGGGCGAATGGGGGGACTGGACGGCGCCACAGAAATGCTTGTCGCAACAAGCGGTCTGCGGGATTCAGACGCAGGATCAGGAGTATGTTGGGAGTGAGTAAATCGTTTAAGAAATTTGTGTATGCTTGATTTTTCATGAAATTTTTGACGGATTTATGGCAGAAATTGTCAGAAAACTAGAAATAGATAAGAAATATTTACGAAAAAGAATGCGTGAAACTGAATTTTCTAGCTGCTTAATAAATGATTTTTGCCGAATTATGAAGAATGGCAGAAATTTAAGGAAAGTAAACAGATTTACGAAATAAGATGCCTGAAAATATAGATTTTTTTGCTAAATTATTTTATATTTTATTGTTTTTTATCTAAAGTATTCACCAAAAATAATGTCAGAAATATTTGGAAAATATTTACGAAAACCTAGAAATATTAGAAAAAATTAAATGCTTTTGAAACAATGGTTGGAATACGCATATTTCAAATGATCCTAGAAGAATGGAACATCTTTTACTAATTAAAATTAATACTACAGAAATAATTTTTTTCATAAAGGTCGTTAAAGTTTTGGTAATTAAAAAAATCTTTAAATATATTTTTTATAGCCGAAATATTTATAAAGTGCTAAGGAAAATCAAGAAATATTGGAACTTTTTATATATTTTTGACATTTTTATTTGTATTTTATATTTACACATTTGTCAAATAAAACTAGTAATACATCTTTTTCAAATAAAATAAATACTTCACAAATACATATTTTGCTAAAAGACGTCAAAGTATTCACAATTTAAAAAAATATTTACAATAATTGAAAATTTACATTTTAACAAGTGTTAAAAAATAGTTGAAATATTTTGCAAAGTACTTAGGAAAATTTAAAAATAGTTGAAATATTTGCAAACTATTTAAGAAAATTTAAAAATATTGATAAATTTTAGTAATCTCGTCAGATTTAGTGCCTCGTTAAGTTTCAAAATAAATCTGCTGAGAATCTACACAAAAAATTGCAATTGGATGCAAATAATTGCAATTAAAAAGGATTATTTCATGCAATTTTTTTTCAATTTTGTTTTTTGAGGTGGCGACGACACCGCTTTAAACAACGTGCGAATGAAGTGCTGCACCCTGACCAATATTGGGTCCACCTGTGACCCCACCGACCACTGGGAGACAATCCTGGAATGTGACAATACTCTCAGTGAGTCACCCTTGACCTGCACTTATCAGAAGAATCGCGGCATCTCGAGGTCATCCATGGCGTCGGAAAGCGTCCTCAACGAGCACAGCGTCATGACGGACATCGGCTTCACCTCGTCCCTCCTGTATAACGGATTGTCGCTAAATTTCGCAGCGAATTTGAGCGCTTCTTCCGCGACGGGATATTCCTGGAGGAGCGAGACGTCGGAAACGTTTCACGAGTCGGTCACCACGACGGCGGAATTTGTCGTCCCGGGCTGCACGAAGGCCAGGTTGAGCCAAGCGGTGGGAAATTGTGGGGCTTTTTCGGTGTATACGAATTACTTTAGGAAGGAGGATTTATTACCGGGGACTAATATTGTGGTGGAAGCGACCCTGTTTTCTGATTAAGAATAAAATGTTAAAAAAATGAAATGTGATTTTGGAAAATTTATAATTTTTGATAAATTTTTAATAAATTATTTCCTGCTCAACATGCGTATGCAAATAATTTTTTAAATTGCATGTTAACAAACTATGAATTCTTGCTTATTGAGGTACACATACATAAATTATGATTGCACTTATTTCGAAATTTTTGAGGGAACTTTACAGATGATTTTTTTCATGAAAATTCCCTCTTTTTTGTAACGTAAACTTTGCAATTTATTTTTCATCTCGCGAATTTGAATTTGAATTTCGTCATCTTGGGACGAATTTGAGCGCGTCTTCGGCGACGGGATATTCTTGGAGGAGCGAAACGTCCGAAACGTTTCACGAGTCGGTCACCACGACGGCCGAGTTTGTCGTCCCGGGCTGCACGAAGGCCAGGTTGAGCCAAGCGGTCGGAAATTGTGGGGCTTTTTCGGTGTACACGAATTACTTTAGGAAGGAGGATTTACTTCCGGGGACTAATATTGTGGTGGAGGAGACGCTGTTTTCTGATTAGATGAAGAAATGAATTGTATAAAAAATGGGGATCCGGGAGTAATATGGACGATACGAATGTGGACATTTATAAGAAGATTTATGTATATTACAATAAATTACATGTTCCATGAAATATGCAAATAATTCGTTTTATACACGTTAATAAATCATGATTTACGTATGTATAAATTTAAATTGTAGCTTAATACTACCGGGACAAATAAGCATTATGGTTTCGGATAAAGTTTAACGAGAGATAGCCTTTTCCTTTTTGAAATGCCATTTAGAAATTCTTTAACTTGCACCGGAAATGCTTTCAGAGTGAAAATAAACTAGCATAATAAAAACGTATGGTTGTATTTTTCATGTTAAAAATTTCATAAAATTTTCTGTTGAGTATTTACGCACGTTAAGTGGGTATTTTATATTTGCTAAAATACAGAGTTTGAGATGAGTCTTGATGTAAGTTAGCGTTGAAAATATAATTTTTAAAATTACGCAAATCATCGAGATTGAGGGCAAATGTGGCCAAATTCTTGTGGTATTAACACATGTAAATCTAAATCACCTCTTACTAGTCATATATACGTTACTAGCCACTATTTCCTTTGCTTGACCCGGCAGAGTTGGCGTTATCTAGAAAAAATAACAAAAAATTACTTCAATTTAAGGTTCCCATGGATGACGCGTTGGCGCGTAATCTCACTCTGCCCCTATCCAATGTATTCAGATGCAATTTCTAAAATCGGATCAACTCCATGAGTTTTGAGATAAATGCAACGTTTGATATTTTAATGTAAAGCTAATTTTTGGTACTACCAAACCTTGGTGTTTTGAAAAATTAGAAAATTCATTTTTGAAAAAAATTAGTGTGGAAAAAGTAGCAAATGAATTTTCTAATTTTTCAAAACACCAAGGTTTGGTAGTACCAAAAATTAGCTTTACATTAAAATATCAAACGTTGCATTTATCTCAAAACTCATGGAGTTGATCCGATTTTAGAAATTGCATTTGAATCCATTGGATAGGGGCAGAGTGAGATTACGCGCCAACGCGTCATCCATGGGAACCTTAAACATGGTCATTCATTCTGAAAGAAAAAAAAAACCTGAATTGTTGTCCTCCTTCATATTTTCCGCAAGTAAAATCAAAGCCCGCAGAAACAAATCAGCTACGCCATCATCCAACTGATCACCACCTGACGCAATACCGCTATCAGCCTCCACCATCATCTCTTCTCCATTTTCATCAACTTTAATTTTTGCAAAGGTGTGGATTCCAGCGTGGATAATAGACTCAATAAAACAGCTTGCACATCTATACTTTCCTTTTGGGTCCTGGCAGTCCACACATTTGAAATAGTGTGAAACTTCTCTACCAGGAATATTTAATGCTTCACAGCACTTTTCACAGTTGCGAACTTCAACAAAATCATGCTGTTTATCGTGACTGTTTACACGGGTATCATAGCATTCGCGGCAGTAGTTGAAATTTGGACAGGCCTTACATTTCCATCGCTCCCCAGTTATGAAATCTTTATCGCACCCATCACAACCAACGCCAAAATGGGGGCCATGCAATTGCTCGCTAGAATGAGAAGGGAAATTGTGATCATCATTTTTATTATTTCCACAACTTTTTTAAGATTTGGTCGATCCACGGGACTATTAGCCAGCAACGAACAGCATAGTTCTTTGGCTTCGATATTCTGTTCAAACCGGATTGGGAACTTTTTTTCTATTCGGATATGGTAAATCGTCTCCACATATCTGTGTTCTGGTATGGGACATAATAATTCGACAAGTATGATTCCCAGTGGATAAATATCGACTTCTTCCCCGTAGACGCCAGTCATCTGTTCCGGCGCCATGTAAGCGACTGTTCCACAGGCAGTATTTTTCAGATCGACAGCTGAGTAGCGCTTTGATAAGCCGAGATCCCCTATTTTTATTGTTCCTTTATCTTTCAAGCTGATAAAAATATTTTCCGGCTTGATGTCACGGTGAAAAATTTTTTGTTTGTGGATATGTCCTATTCCTTTGCAAATCTGTTTGAAATAGCTAAGCGATTTTATCTGTCTTAGAATAGACCTATCCGTTAACCCTTTATTGATGTAGCTTCTCAAGTTTTCGGAACACAGCTCCATTTGTATGCAAAGAATATTAATTGGAGCCGCTACATTTAAGAATCTATAAAATTATACAATAATAGTTACCCAGTCACTACGTATGGTAATATAAAAAAAAGTCCGGTACCCAAAATTTGGATGACATTTTTGTATTTCTTCAAGCTCCCTTTTACGCAGCAAGTCGATCCAACTGTACTTGTAACACACTACATTTTTATGGGATGGAATTTGTGCAAAATTAATTGCTTCTCGTTTTATTCGATCAGCCTCTTCAGTATTGATTGGTAGCTTTATCAATTTTATGGCGTAATCAAGTCCATCCAATTTGTGTTTTGCGGAAAGAACCAATCCAAATGCACCCTGACCAAGGAGTTTACTAACCTCGAAGTCATTATTAATTCTCGAATTGTTGGCACCCATTATTAACTTTGCGGGAATATATAAATGACAATTCCTACACTCAAAATAAGGTAGTAATGAATCATTACCATGCGGAATGACTATGTGGCTCTACCACGTCGGTTACGATTTGTCGTAGAAATGGTAATAATAAGTTCAGGGAAATTCAAATTCATTACCAAATATTAAGGAAGTGAATACCATTATGTATTAAATTTGAATTTCCCTGAACTTATTATTACCATTTCTACGACAAATCGTAACCGACGTGGTAGAGACGTATAGTGATTCCGCATGGTAATGATTCATTACTACCTTATTTTGAGTGTACTTGAATACTAACCAGTGAGTGAGGGGGATTAATTTCTTATTTTACTTGAACAAGCTGATACATCATTCTGGTCACCATTTCCCGTGAATAATCAACTCAAGGTAAATAAGATAACCAGAAAATATTTTAATACCGCATTCATCATGATGCGGTTATGACAATCCTTTCCAATGTATTTTATGATGAGGTATATTTATTTAGTACAACTGATTACAAAGCATAAGCAACTTAATCATTTGACATGTTTATGGATAATTGTATAACAGATATATGCTATACAACCAGGGTTTCGATTGGTAAAAACCAAATTGACCAGGACAGCGGGAAAAAGTGGGAAAAAGGCATTTTTACCACCCACCCAAAATGGGTGGAAAATGGGAAAAATGGAAGAAATGGGAAAAACTCTGGTTTTGGGGCAATCCGAAACAGCTTCTTTAAAACCTAAGATTTTCAAAATTTAACCTCATATTCATATTCTCCATCAAATTCTGAGAAAATTAGTTGGTAATACGGTTCAAGTCGAACAATCTCTAAAATTTACATGTATTCATATGGGAAAATAGGAAAATAATTAAAACTGATCAAAAGTGCCCGTATTACATATCAAAATTTTCAGAAATTCGTGGAGATCACGAATATGAAGTCTAATTCCGGAAATATTGATTATTAAAGAAGTTAGCTTTCCCCACAACTAAATACATGGGCAGCCATATTTCCCATTTTGGACGGTAAAAACCGTTTTTCCCGGTTTTTACCACTTTTTCCCACCTGCCGTGGTAAAAAAAACGTTTTCGACGGGAAAAGCGAAACCCTGTATACAACAATTAAAATCCATTCCAACAAATTCCCATGTTGACACACACTTATCTAACTTCGTGCATTCTAAACACGGCCATCCTACACACAGAAATATGCATACTGCTTGCTAACTAAATACTATACTCTCAATATCTACGTGCTAAAATTATCCTTTAAGATTACCCTTGGTAGGTATTATGCCTAACGAGTATAAAGTCCGGGTCCGCGTCGCTGCTCTGAGGTCTGGGCTTGAAAGTTTCGTGCCGTTTCACCACTCACGCCAACGTGGCGTGGTGAAATGAGCTAAGGCCTTTTTAAAGATCGCAGCCACTTCATTAAAATAATGTAACAAATGCACTTATCTTTCATTTAAAATTAAGATGACCAAAATCGGTTGAGAAATAAAAAAGTTTTCCCTTTGACATAAAAGTCGTGTTGCATAAGGTATAATCTTAAGGGAGCTGGTCGCATGGTAATACCCACTCAACACTTTGGATTAGTTGGAAAACAAAACAAAAATTACTTTTATGGTTGCTCTCTTTGAAAAGAGTTATTAAACCATTAATGGCTGCCGGAGTACATATATGGCAACCGTCATATATCAATAACGAGCATTACCGTTCTGGTGATGAAAATTGACCGCGCATAAACAAACTATTACTACAGAGGTCGACGACGCCGACCTCACGCCGCCATACGCCGATAGCATTTTTTACGCGCCGCCGCCGCCGAAAAATTTGATTTCCTATTCCTTTAACATTGTGACGCCGCGCCGCCGACGCCGAAAATTTGTCGGCGTCGACCTCTGTACTACTACTACCGACCCCGTAGGAAATTACTATTAAATCTATGCCACAGTATGTATATATGTACGACTACCGGATTTTTTAGAGTACCGTAAAACCTCTATTTATAGCTCTATTCTAATTATAGCCGGTCTCCAAATATAGCCGGGTCTAGAGACCAAAATTTCAAAATCTTAGCCGGGTCTCTAATTATAGCTGTCTTGTCCGCTCTGTCCCCGTTCCTAGCCCATTCAAGAAAATGTGGCACATTAAATAAGCTAATCCACGAATAAGTTGAACTACTAATTTTTATGTTATTTTCAAGTTAATAATGGATATAATCATGACAGAAAATTAAAATATACTGATAAACCTCGTATAAAGATGTAGATTCAAAGTGAATGGGTCACTGTTGCCATATCTTGCTAAATAAGAAAACTCAGCAAGATCTTGTAACATCTAAAATTTTGGGCGAAACAAGATTCAGCCGGGTCTGTAGCCGGTCTCTAATTGTAGCCGGGTCCGTGACCCCCCAGTCCGTGACCCCCAGTTGTGGGTCACGGACCCGGCTACAATTAGAGACCCGGCTAAAATTTTGTTTAACCCCAAAATTTCTGATGTTACAAGATCATGCTAACTTAATTTGAGTTTTCTTATTTAACAACTTATACCATTAGTAACCCATTCACTTTAAAATTACATCTTTAAACGAGGTTTAGCAGTTTAAAAAAATTATGTCATGATTAAATCCATTATTAACTTGGAATTAATAGGTAAAAATTAGTAGGTCAACTTATTAGTTGATTAGCATAATGTGCAACATTTTTCGTGAATGGGTTATGAACTAGAGACAGGTCATAATTAGAGACCCGGCCATAACTAGAGACCCGGCTATAATTAGAGACCCGGCTAAAATTTTGAAATCTTGGTCTCTAGACCCGGCTATATTTGGAGACCGGCTATAATTAGAATAGGGCTATAAATAGAGGTCTTACGGTACTCGATTTAAAGATGACGACAATTGATCAGAAGTAAAATTTACATTTCTTCCAAAAACAGTTTGTAAATCCTAAGTTAACCCGTAGTCGTTGTCCGTCCGATAATACGGGCTTTGTGAGGGGTACTTTAGCCGAGTTTTTTCCATGGCGTCGCAATGCTGACCGTACCCGATTTGCAAAATGAGGTCACTAACGCCACGCAGTTGTTGAATGCAATTCGCGACGAGAACGTTCGCCGACCGGGTGACGCGCTTAGTTTTGTTTGATGTCATCACTCTGTAAATATTTTTATGCTTATGGCGCAGGAGTTTAATTATAGTTTAATAAGACAGAAATAACCACTTGACTTATTTGGGTTGCATAAAGAGCGAGTTAATCACGAAATTTATTGATGTATGTATCTCTTCATAAAATTGAAAATTCATAAAAATTATGATCCACGAATCACGTGTGCAAATTTTGATGGGAAATTATTCACTGGACTTAAAAGATTGTGACATTTGATCAGAAGAATTAGTATAATTGACCTTTCTTCCAAGAACGGTTTGTAAATCCCAAGTTAATCCGCAGTCACTATCCGGGCTTTGGAAGGTGGTATACTTCCGCCTGGCTTTTTCCATGGCGTCGCGATGCTGCCCGTACCCGATTTGCAAAATGAGGTCACTAACGCCACGCAGACTTTGGATGCAGTTCGCCACGAGATAATTGGCCGATTTGATGACGCGCTTGGTTTGTTTGATGTCATCCGTCAACAGGGTGACGAGACGCTCCTTGTCCGCCGTCGTTTCGCGGAGCGTGGTCAGTTTCGAGATGAAGAGCGGAATCGGCATGTTACACCCGGCGCAGGAGAGCGCGTTGATTTGCGCGTCTTCCAAGGCGAGGGACGCTTCCAGATCGGAGATGCGTTTTTTAAGACGGAGGTTTTCCTGGGTGAGGGCTTTCATGATGAGCTGGGGGGAAAATACGAGGGGGAGTGAAATTTTGGAACTTTTGTAAAAAAAATTTGGGTTAGGGTCTTCCCATGGGGTGGATTTCAGGGGGTGTTATACCGACAAAAAGAGGAAAATCTACGTGGAGAAGGCAGCAATCGGTCGAAAATGCAGGTTTTGTGAAGAAATTAACTTTTTTATTGCGGTCAAATCCATCGTTTTCAGGAAAATTTTACGGAGGGTTAGTTTTGTAATCTGAATAAGGTTGATTCGTACAAGAAAAATAAAGCTTAATTGTGCAGGCAAAAGTGGAAAATTTCTAACCCATTTTTGCACATTGATAGGTACAAAAAGTTGGAAGAGTGTAACACCAAAGAGAAAAATGCTGGAGAATTTTAATTGTTAAAAATGTGACAGGTAAGGTCTTTTAATCAGTCGAAATTATTGAAATTGAATGGTAGGAAACGTACAACTTTAAAAAACAGAGGTGGGTCAAATACTTTGCCAATATGTAGCATTTTGAGCGATGTTCTTCCCAGGGTTTGGATTTCCGGGGGTGTCAAACCCACAAAAAGAGGACGAAAATCTACCTGCAGAAGCCAAGTTTCAATCGATAATACAGGTTTTGTAAGCAAATTGAGGTTTTTTCACCGATGTGAAAATACTTTATTTTTTAGAAAATTGTGAAAACAATGTATTTTGACAGCGATAAAAATTTAATTTGCTAACAAAACCTGTATTTTCATGACTTTTGTATTCTTGACGCAGATTTTCGTCTTTTTGTGGATGTTCCCGAAAATCCAAACCCTGGGAAGAACAGGGCTCAAAATATGATTCTTCTCAAAATAAAATATTTTTACAAGGATAAACACTTAATTTCTTAAATACAAACTCTCTCTCTCTTTGTGGGTGTAACACCCCCCGGAAATGCAAACCCTCGTAAGAATATCGCTCAAAATATTGCAATTTTCTCATTTTCTCACCTTTTTATCCCTAATTTTCTTCCTCTTCCGTTCCATCGTCTCCTCATCGGCCTTAATTTCCTTCACCACCTCCGCCGTTTTCCTCTGCCACTGCGCAATCTGATGAGAAACATTGGAAAAAAATTTCCTCCCGGTGAAAATTTCCTCCTGCAAAACCCTCCCGTCCTTTTCCGCCCGGTTGAAATGCCCGATCGTGATCTCATTCGCTTTGCGAAGCTGTTCAACCTGCACTTCGAGCAGCTCGACGGGTTCGGGATCGAAGTAGAAGTAGAGTTTTCCATACCGGGAGCGCACCTCGGCCTCACGTGGCGTAAAACAGGGGTGATTTAACAGCACGGAACCCGGGTATTGGGTCAGGTAGAGGTCGGGTGGAGTGAATGGGTGGGAAAATTGGATCCCGTGCCACCAGTAGAAATTCGGGGGGAAAGGGGCCCCCAGTTTGCACTCTTCGGCGGCCCGTGGCTGCCATTTTGCGCGGAGGTGTTTCGGCATCCGGTAGCCGGGTAGGGGGGGAAGGGGGAGGGAGGCGAGGTCAAGGGGAAGGGGTGGTGGTGGAGTTTGATGGGAGGGAGGTGGTGTGATGGTGGATTCTGGGGCGGTGTTTTCGGGGCGGGTAGGTTTGTTTGGCGTCTGGTATCCGGGGAGGGAGACGAGGTAGTCATGTAGAGGATTTTGATGTGAGGGGGCGGTATTTTCGGGGCGGGCATCTTTTTGCATCCGGGAGACGAGGTGGTCACGTGGAGGAGGTGGCATTTGATGTGATGTGGGTGGCGAGCTGGGTTGTGCGGCCGTATTTTGGTGGAGGGCATGTTTTAGTGACCGGAATCCGGGCAGGGACACGAGGTGGTCACGTGGGTCAGGGGTTTGGCGTGATGTGGGTAGCGTGCTGCGTTGTGGGGCGGTATTTTCGTGGCGGTCATTTTTTGGCATCCCGTATCCGGGATGGTGTCGGAGTGGGCGGGATGATGCGAGCTGGTCACGTGGGGGAGGATACGATGCGGGTTTTTGAGTGGTATTTTCGTGGCGGATATTTTTTGGCGTCCAGTATCTCTGAAGGGACACGTGGTGGTCACGTGGTGGAGGAGGAGCCGTTTGTTGTGATGGTGGTGGCGTGATGGTGCCCTGTTCTGGGGGGATATTTTCGACCCCATTTTCGTCCGACGGGGTGGAACCCAAAGTGTGCCAGGAGGACGATGTTTTCGCCTGTGGTTTACGAGAATCTGATGAGCAAAAATTAGCATTTTCGTCGGGGAGGGGATCGTCATGTTTTTTGTGGGGGGCGAGGGGACGATTGGAGGAGGAAGAGGACGATGAGAGACGCGTGTAGGAATGGTGTTTTCGGACAGGGATGAATTGTGTTTTTGTGGTAGGAGGCATTTTAATGCTGGAATTTTGGGGGAGAATTTGGCTGAAATGGGGGGGGTGGTCGAATTTTATTGTTTTTTGCGAATTTTTTGCGAATATTGCAATATTTTGAAAGTGGTGGACGTATTTTCCCGGCCGAAACTATGGCGATTGAATCATGCTAAAAACGAGCAATAATAATAATTCGCAAAAATGTAAACAAAAAATGAATCCAATTCTGACTCCGGAATTTTATGAAGTGTGAAAAAATCCGTATTAAAAATTCCGGAAATTTATTTACGCATTCGCAATGTTTCAAAACGATACTTTCTCCAGTCAATTTGACCCATTTGACGAGGAGGTGGCTGGACCAGGGACAATTTTCTTTGGAGTTTTGACCACCTTTGTCCTCGCCTCGTTCGGCGTTTTCATCACGATCGGAGTGGTCACGGATAACAAGAGTCATCACTCCCAGCGTGTGAGGACCTCCAGCATCGAGGGGCTCAGAGGGTACGTATGAGATAAATACGTAATTTGCAGGGGGTGGGCAAAATATTGGTCAAAAATACAGTATTTTGAGCTGAGATTTTCCCAGGGTTTGGATTTCCGGGGGGTGTTACACCCACAAAAAGACGAAAATCTAGGCAGAGAAGACAATAGTCTTACGAAAATACAGGTGTTTTTCGAGAAATTAACGTTTTATCGATGCGAAAATACTTCATTTTTCACGATTTTTTTAAAAATACAATATTTTGATACCGATAAAAAGATAATTTCTTCACGAAACCTGAATTTTCGTCTGAATTTTGCCTTCTCCACGTTGATTTTCGTCTTATTGTGGGTGTAACTGCCCCCGGAAATCCAAACCCTGCGAAGAACGGGGCTCAAAATACTGTATTATGATTTTGCCCACGTCTGATAGTTCAGAAATATTATTTAGAAATTGTTTTTGATAATTTTTGAATTTAGACATTTTTTTGGGAAACCTGGAACTTCTCTGGCCGACGTGGTGAAGCCTTCGTATTTGAAGAGCAGTTGGAGTAAATTTTGGACCGTGACGTTGCCCTCGAGGATCAAGAATTTCTATGTGGAAGCCTTATTCGTCCCCGCATTTCGATGGGAATGGGGCAAGTATATGGACTGGAGTTTTCGCAGGTAAATAAATATATATGTTAACCTAGGACTGGATGACTTCTTATCACCAAAATGGTCCCAATCAGCACATGTTTAATCATTTTATCGGCTCTGGGAGCTTATTTTAAAATTCTGGACGACGAATTTGTAATGCAGAGGTCGTTGTAAATTTTTTAGAGAAACATACATTCCAGATTTTGACACTTTTTGAAAAAGGAGATCGTAAGGTTAAGAAGCCTTCAAAAAAATTAGAAGGCAAATTTGTCGTCAAGAATTTTAAAATAAATTCCCAGAGGAGAGAAATGATTAAAAATGTGCGGATTTCAACGATTTTGGTGGAGAGTCATCGAGTCCTATGTTAAATATGTCATAAAATGAAAACTTCCAAAATAAATAAATAAATTTAAGCGGTAAATGGTTATCAATCATGATAAGTGGGCGAGGAAGCCGTGGGGACAATTGGGGACACTAAAAGGGAGAGTATATCTTGTTCCATGGGGTTTATTTAACATGGGCAACCGTGGTTGTCCCTCAGGATCAGTCCCACGCTTCCACGCCCACTGATAACTTGCTAAATGATAAGCCACCCTCTTCCTTCTTGTGCATAGTCCTCCCCGTCTCGAAAATCAACAAGGCAAAGTAAAAATTCGGATCAAACGTCGCCGAAAGACGAAAACCTCGATAAACGTGAAACTTCCGAAATACGGGGAATCCTCGAGCGCCCCGGTCACGGCGAGACCGCAAGTTCACGACCACTCGCAGTGCGCCCTTGTCCGCATCAACGTGGGCGGACGCCGGTTCGACACCCAGGTTCGGACTCTGCTCCAATTTCCGGGATCTCTGCTGGGCGACCCGCAAAGAAGGGCGAGATTTTATGATGCGGTGCGACCATATTTTATTAATTAATTAAATTGCGAGGTTTACGAAAAATCTGGTAATTTTTTTAGGAGCGTGATGAATACTACGTTGACCGGAATGCAACCTCGTTTGAAGCCATTATGTAAGTAATTTGGACATATTTCTTGAAATTACGGGTTAAAATTGGTATGAAATTAGCGAATAAGACGAAATATTCAGAGAATCTGGCAATTTTTTTTCGAAAATTTCCCTAATTTTTGCCCCTAATTTCTTTAATTTTGGCTGGTCACTTTCTTTTTTTTAAATTGGGAAGCAATTAATGCTAAAACCGAAATACCAATTTCACATTTTTGTCCAAAATTTTGGACACAATTTTGTCCTAAGTTTTGCTCCAAATTTCGTCATGCTTGCCTTAATATTTCCCAAATTTGGAAATTTCCCTACTTTTGCGTCGTAGATTGATTTTTGCTTAAAATTGGTGAGCAAAAGTGGACATAGGTATGCCAAATTTTTGTCCAAAATTTCCTCAATTTTGCCACAAATTTCCTAGATTGTGTGTGATTAGTTGATATTTTTGCAGGTACTATTATCAAACTGGAGGAGTGCTCCGGAGACCGTTTAATGTCGGGGTGGACATGTTTTTGGAAGTAAGAACCTTGATTTTTTAGTACAAATTACGGAATTATTGAGTACTACTCTACTAAATACTTTGTTTTTCTAGGAATTGAAGTTTTACGACTTGGGCGCAACGGGTACATATTTACATAATTTATTTATTTTTAAATATGTATTCCTAAAATTAGTGGCGAAAATACTTTATGTGAAACTACAGTGTTTTGAGCTCCTTTCTTCTAAAAGGTTGGATTTCCGGGGGAAGAAAAATTCCAGGATTTCTACGAAAAATTCTAAACGAATTTTGCACAGAGAAGGGAACGTACATAGAATTTTTCAGAAATTGGTAGTAAAAATTAAAATTAAGTAAGAGTTTGACACCGAAAAGGAATTTCTGGTGAATTTAAACTATTTAAAATGTGATAGATTACATGTAAATTCGGTATCAAAGAAATAAATTGAAGTAAATGATAGAAAATGGAGATTTTTTGCGACTTTAGAAACAGAGGTGATCAGAATACTTTGTCAAAATAGAGTATTTTGGCAGGGTTTCTATTTCCGGGCAGGTACACCCACAAGAAGGCGAAAATCTACCCCCGGAAATACAAACTCTGGCAAGATCTGCATTCATGTTTTGTAGGAAATTAACTTGTTATCGCTGTCAAAATTACTCAAAATACTTCATTTTTAAAAAGTCGCGAAAACAATGCGTTTTTGACAGCGATCAAAAGTAATTTCTTCACAAAAACCTGTATTTTCATATGATTGTTCCCTTCTCCACGTAGATTTTCGTCTTTTTGTGAGTGTAACACCCCCAGAAATGCAAACCCTGGGAAGAAACGAGGTCAAAGTACTGCATTTTCAACATTTTCTGAAAATGTGTTTCATTTTTAATTAACAGCCATCGAACGGTACAAGAACGACGAAGGGTTTCTGGCCGAGGAGGAGAAACGCTTGCCAAAAAATTTGCTCCAGCGGAAACTTTGGCTTTTACTGGAATTTCCGGAGAGTTCATTTCAAGCGAGGATTGTCGCCATCATGTCCGTTCTGGTCATCATAATTTCCATTTTGACCTTTTGCATCGAGACGATCCCCGGATTTGCGGTGGACGTGGACAACAGCGAAGAGATCGATTTCCAGGACCCCTTCTTTCTCGTCGAGACGATTTGCATTTGCTGGTTCACGTTCGAGTTTGCGACGAGATTTTGTAATCAGGGGGAATATTTTTTTTGTTTTAAAAGTATGGAAATATTGGCAAAATTTTGAAATATTTTGAAAAAATGGGGGTCAAGATTTACATATTTTTAAATATTGGTTGGGAGATGATATTTACATTTGCTGGTTTACGTTCGAGTTTGTAACGAGATTTTATAAATCAGTACGAATAGTTTTTTCAATCTAAAGCGTATAAATATTTGCAAAATTTTTATATTTTTGAAAAATGGCGAACAAGATGTGCATATTTTTGAAATAATGGTTGAAAAATGATATTCATGAAAACCTTGAGATATTGATAGAATTTTATTTTTGGAAAAGTCGTCATCAAGATTTATGATTCTCAAATAATGGCTGAAAAATTGAAGAAATATATATAGGTTTTTATGAAAATCTCGAAAAATATTACGAAATTTTCATACTTAACATAAATTATACCTAATTTATAAATGTATCGATTGCAAAATATTTATTGGTACTTTTCAATATTTCGAGCTTGCGAAGTACTTCGTAACTATTCCTCAGCCAAAAAATATGTAAATTTTGACCACAATTTTTTTTTCAAAAATACACAAATTTTGTCAATGATTCTAATTTTGGACTGGAAAGTTCCTCATGTTTTTTTTAATTTTGCTCAATTTGTATATTGAAATTTGGGCGTTGGTGAATTTTTTACTTATTTTTTTGCAGTGACCTGTCCCAGCAAAGCCAGTTTTACGAAAAGCTTCACAAATTTGATCGATTTCGTCGCAATTGTTCCGTACTTTGTGGCCATGATTTTCTACAAGACGAGCAGTACGAAAATTTCTGGGGAATTTTGCAATTTTTAAAATTATTTGAGATATGAAGTTAATTAATTTGTATCTTTTACACAGGCAGCCACGCCAAATATTTGACGATTCTTCGCGTCATCCGTCTCGTCCGTGTGTTCCGGATTTTAAAGCTTTCTCGACATAATAAGGGGCTCAAAATTTTGGGGAAAACGTTGAAAGCGTCGATCCGAGAGTTGGGCCTGTTGATTTTCTTCCTGGTCATCGGTATCATCGTTTTTTCCAGCGCCGTCTACTTTGCAGACATTGACGAAGAGAATACCGACTTTAAATCCATTCCGGAAGCGTTTTGGTGGGCCGTTGTGACAATGACGACAGGTGAGAAAGGAGATTTTTTGCGGAAGAGGATTTTGCAGAATTTTGAAATTTTGAGGAGAGGAATTTCTGTGGGAAAATGTTGAAGATTTTTATTTTGTGTACTATAAACGATATCCTGTATTATCTGATATTCCGCTACACTTACATATGAAAATTTTGACATTTTTCTTCAGAAATCTGCGGAATTTTTTTCCATACAAAATTTTGTTTCGGAGAATTTTAGATATTTTTTTCTGTGGAAAATTTTCTTCACCAATTCTCCAATTTTTTCTCTGCTGATTATTCCAACAGAAAATTATCTGCAGAAATAAATATCTCGAAATTTAAGTACCAAGAAAATTTTTTGTAGAATTCTAGAGAAAATTTTCTGATGGAATAATCTGCAGGAAATAAAATACAGAATTTTTCCCTATAGAAAATTTTCTAGATAAATTGTCCTCTGCACAAATTCCGGCGGAAAATTTTATTTTAAAAAATACTGCAATTTTACTCTGCAGAATGTAAATTATTCCAGCAAAAAAAAAATCAGACAAAAAATCTCTCAAATTTTACTCTGTATATTCCAGCAGTAAATTTTCTACAGAAAATAAAATCCTGAAAATTTTACTTTGCTTCAAAGTTTCGTCAAACATAAGAATTGGACCATGTTTTTGCACAAATATTTAACCTCACTCCGAATTTGGGGCTGAAAACTAACCTATCTTTTCCATTAATTTAGTCGGATACGGGGACGTTTATCCGCGTTCCCTCATCGGAAAAATTTTCGGGAGCATGTGCGCCATCGCGGGAGTGCTGACCCTGGCGCTACCCGTGCCTGTTATCGTGTCCAATTTCAATACTTTCTACCACCGCGAAGACCACCACAAAGATATGGATGCCGGAAGTGCGCTGGACGATTTCACCCACACGGAACAGTGTCCCTTCCTCTCGGGCAGTTATGACAGGGACGGCTCCGTCATGGTGGACGATGTCCCCCAGAGTCCCCACCCCCAGAGGAAAACGTTGACGATAAAGCTAAGGGGAAGGAAGCAGAAAGTCGGAGAAATGTCAACTTTACTGATAAATCAAAAGATAAATTGTCTCAGATTCAGTGAATTTTTGAATTTCTACGAAATTAAGGTCAGTTTCAGGCATAATATTTACGGTGCAATTTAATTTAACGGAAAAATCAATGGCATATTTGCAATGAATTAGTAAATTTGAAAATAAATTCAGTTTCAATCCTAAAATACATTAATTTGAACACACTTTTAGATAGTTATTTATTCGCACAATTTGGGGCATGCAAATTCAGTCATAATACGTGTGCAATTTAAGTTAACGTAGATACATTATTGGCAAAATAAATAGCATGCAAATTATTTGCAATGAATTTGTAGATATGAAAATAAATCCGGTTTCAATTCTAAAATACACTAATCTGAAAGCATTTTTAGATAACTTATGCATTTATTATTTGCAAAATCAATGTCATATTTATGCAAATGAATAAATTGCATGGAAAAATAGACTACTAAAATGCACATAAAATCATGCTGAAGTAAGTAAAGCGTGGAACATTTTCATGTGAAAGGCGACCCTGAAGTGAAAACAGTGTACGTTTTCTTCACACCATTAAAAAAAATGACATTCCGATGTAATCGGAAAATACATGTTTTATTGTATTCCTGGCTGCGCGAGGAAATGCCCTCTTATCTCCACTTTTCAAGGAATTTATGTGCTCCCATTTAGACAACGGGGTCCATTACACACATTTGTACATTCGCACAAGAAATAAATATTTATATTGAAAAATGCGCAGTTGGTGTTGGCATCACAAAACGGCGTGGGAAACAATAATTAAATTGACAAGGGACGCCTGTAAATCTAATCAGTCGGAGAATGCGGATATGAATTTACGAAAATTTGCGGAAATCTGCATGCATTTTTTGTGTAGAAAAAAATCGGCAAAATATTTTAAAAATTTGTACGGAAGAAAACGTAAAAATGGGAATCGTAACAAAATTTGTACTTTTAATACTTTGGATTTTTTGTGGTCCAATTTCTTCGATCAAAAAAATAAATCCCTCTCATCTTTGAAATGGTTATTACAAATTACATATTTACGAAATAGATATGTACAAAAAACATTGAAATAAGAGTTTGAGCAAAATTTGTAATTTTGAATTTAACACTGTTGACTGTTGATTTTTTCTGGTCGAATCTCTTTCATCAAAAAATTTCGTCTTATTGGTACATCTTTAAAATATTTACAAAATGTATGCATTTTTTATTAAAAAATAAGGGGTATTTTTGAATAATAGAGGAAATATTTATATCTATACCTATGTCTAAAAATCAAGAAATCTGTGCCAATATGTAAGAATATTTTGAAATTTTTGTAGTCTATGCGAGTTATGTAAGGAACACACGCAAAAAGTTTGACCGTCGGTCGTCATCAAATGAAAAAGTAGAGAATAAATACATATCCACCCTCTGCTAATTAATGGATGGATGGATAGATGTAAGTAAATCCGGGTGGCGACAACGACGACGACGACGAGTCCGCATTAAATTAACGAGCTTAACATTTTTGTCGCAATTATATAAATACATACTTCGTCAATGAAAATGTTTACGTTACAATACTTACAAGTCAGACTTTTGGACGACGACGGATCGAATTTCTTTTTCAACAAATGAGTCATATTTTTAAGTATAGAGATGTTTATACAATCGTAATAAATGTGTCGTGTTCTTCAGCAGCCGACCGGTGAGGAGTTTGACAATTTAATTATCTGTGTAAGCAGATAACTCGTGTAATTGTTAGGATCAAGTTTCTAGTAAAGAATTTGCCCTCTCATATTTATTTCTTGATTCACAGGAGGATCAAATTTTACTTGTGGAAAAGAAGTATGTAAGTATTTTGTCGTTATTTAGACGGATATGTAATATTTTGACAGTTTTAATGGTAGACAGTCAATGATATGTTAGTTTTACATGCGTTTTTTGAAAGTAATTTATACCAAATGTTATACTTTAAACTAATGGCGGATATATGTTTATTTTCAAGTTTTTGATTTGCTGACGACCAACGGTCAAAATTTGTAGGTAGATATGTTCCTTAACTCTTATAAATTATATAATAATAATAATAATAAACCGTAGTAACGTTAGAAGTAGCTCACCCTCTCATGATGATTAGACAGAACTTTGCACCGAAGGTGCGGAATAAGCCGGCAAAATAGATCATAACTCGTATATATTCTTGCACCCATGGTGCAACAAAAAGGTCTATCCCTTGCACCATTACTGCAGCATTAGCGACCATCCGGGACACATAATTTTGAAAACTTTGTCAAAATTTTATGACCATTTCTCCCGGATATTTTGCACTATTGGTGCGTTTTGCATCCCTTCTCCCAATTATTTCGCATCATTTTGTTTTCCCGATTGTTAGATATCAACGGTGCTATTAATTTATTAAAAAATTCGATTCGGTTTGTTCAATACCAATGCCTAACTTATTCAATAATGGTCAAGGGGATTTTTAAATAGCATCAATTGATGCAAAAAACTCGTTAACAGACGGACAGACAGACAGACGGACAAGAGGAATTCAATAGCTCTCATGCTACGCAGGGTGAGCTAATAATTTACACATTGTTACATACATATTTTTGATTTTCAGAAATATGAATATTTTTCCGCTATCATTTTAAAAATATAAATCTTTTACCTATTAAAAAAATACATATATGTATTTTGAAACTATTTCAACGATGTGAGACGAATTTTTTTACTCAAAGAAATTGGATCACAAAAAAATCCAGAATATTAAATTTCCAAAATATAAATTGTGTTCAAATTCTTAATTTTATGGCTTTTTCCGTTAATATTAAATACATGTTTCAGCGATTTTTGTTCATGTATGTACATTTGTATCCGCTCTATTTTTATGAGAAGCGTTATCCTTGATCCGATCAGACAACTAAATACTTGTTTTCTATTTATTAGTTGTAAATAAATAAAGTGTGGCATTAATAAGGCAAGTTTACTTACATGAGTGATGACACCTTATAAATTCTACTAAAGTTAAAAAAAACTCCATCTTTTTTTTACGTATTTCATCATCAATCTCAATTAGTGGTAGACGATTAAGACCCAGTTTTTCCCCGTCTTTCCGGTCACTGGTGGTTTGGTTGATAAGTGAAGATAAGTGAAGATAAGTGATAATCGAACGAAACCCAGGATACATATTCAGCTAATTTACTTACTTATTTAGCTTCTTGCTGCCAGCAGTGGAGCATACCACGATGAAGCTACGCGTTCATTTTTTGATTGCATGCCATGCATGAAGAAAACCTGCCCTGAAATAAATACGCATCGCGATAATGATAAAACTGGTTTTATTATTTATTCTTCTCCTCTCGAACAAGACACCTCGCAGGATTTGAGACGCCTAATTTTACGTAATATCAAGTTTTGATACACTCTTAGAAATCCGGTGTTAAAATGATACCAAGCATGTATTCGTGTATGAGTTTTCCAACCAAAGTGGTATTGATACGTAATAGATGAAAGTTTTACCATATAGGTATCATTTTAATACCAAGCGGGATCAAGTTTAATACCGAGAAATCAGTACCTGCTTGACTATGCACCTTAGAAAACTGGTATTAAATCATTACTGACCGGAGTACATATGAAAATCTACCGGCACGGTTACAAGCAAAACTGTTTAGTAATGTTGCAAAATGCAAAATGTATCACGCAGAAATAAACTATCACCAATGCGGTAGAGAATTATTACCAAATCACTACCAGTACTCGGTATATATCTCACTCTACCAGATTTTTAACAGTGTACCAGATTTCTCCCAGTGTCGAGATACCATATCTTGATAAGAAGTAACATTTAACATTCAGCCTTCTCGATAAGACTCTAAGAGTTCCTTTCTTTTCGCAATTAATGGTCTAATTGTTCCCTTCTTTTTCTTCTCGGTGTCTTGTTCTGCTACGCAATTGCAGTCATCAGATATGACTTTATTCTTGTCTTCGTATAAAAATAACGTGCTGCCTGCAAGCATGGAAAAGACGCGGCCGGGCCGGGTGCAAAAGATCGATGGCATGCTGCGGATTCTTCTTTTCTTGTCCTGTGTCATGGTTTGTATGTATGTATTCCCGACCTATCCCATGCCCTCCTTCAAGGACAACTCGCGAAAATAATAGGATTCGCGAAATGCCAGGATATAAATATAGCCAATTTGCTTATACGTATACATTGTTAGCGAATAGAACACGCAGGAGGAGGACGACGACGACGCGAATTATAAAGTGAAGTGGCCCCGGCCAGAAAATCTACTCTTCTATTTACCGCAGTGCAGTGTGTATGTATGAACTGCAAAATGAAGACGGCGTAGTTTTGTCCAAAACTAGATTGAAATCGGATGGCGTGGAATGGCGTGTTTTCTTCTTCGTGCATGCATGCCAAAGTTGGTGGATTCTTAATTTAATCAGGCAGGAATGGATATGGAAGGCTGGATTTGTGAAGGAATGGGTGCAACTGTGTAGTCTAGACTAGATTTGCGTATGGGAGCGGCTATTAAATAATATTTAAATGAGATATTTTTTTACTACTTTGTCAGCTTTTTAGACCTACTTCGCAGTAGTTGATTTTGATTTTGATTTGATTTTAGGTGGAACGGGAGGGAAGAATTTAGGATTATGTATGAACGTGAATCTGGAGAAGTTTGTATGTGTACATATCTGTCTCGCTATGCAGGCATGATTCCCCGTGTGACATTTTGTGTGACTGATATGGTTGCATTACATAAGGTATACATAATAAAGACGGGTCGTTTCCCATTGTGGCAAAAAGTTAGTGAGGTGTGACAGCTTGATAAGATGGTGGTGGTAAAAAATCTGGGTGACACGACATGAGTACACTCTTAGAAAAATGGTGTTATATAAATCATTACTGACCGGAATACATCCGTATATGCATATGACTTTACCGCCACGGTAATAACAGGTCTTAATGCCGTGGTAATGAAAACTTTACTACTGAGAAACAAACTACTACCAATCGGGTAGGAAGTCCACACCAAATCAGTAGCAGTACGGACTATGTATCTGACTCTACAGTTTTAGGAATCTGGTATTAAATCATTACTTACCGGAGT